ACACAGCACCAGACACCGTACATATTTCCACCTTTATGTAGATAGGATCAAGTTAAACTAAATGTAGCATATGGATCATATTTTTTACTGGAAAAAGAACCACAAAGACAAGAAATCAGAATGACACAAACACAAAGAGGCCAGAAAACCTAGTTGCCTTTACAAATAGAACACCTATAGTTGGCTTTATGAATAGAAAACCTAGTTGTCTTTATAAATAGAACACCTATAGTTGGCTTTATGAATAGAAAACCTAGTTGTCTTTATAAATAGAACACCTATAGTTGAATTTTTAAATAGAAAACCTAGTTGCCTTTATAAATAGAAAACCTAGTTGCCTTTATAAACAGAAAATCTAGTTGCTTTTATAAATAGAAAACCTAGTTGCCTTTATAAATAGAAAATCTAATTGTTTTTATAAAAAGAAAATCTAGTTACCTTTATAAATAGAAAACCTAGTTGCCTTTATAAATAGAAAACCTAGTTGCTTTTATAAATACAAAACCTAGTTGCCTTTATAAATAGAAAACCTAGTTGCCTTTATAAACAGAAAATCTAGTTGTCTTTATAAATAAAAAAAATCTAGTTGCCTTTATAAACAGAAATTCTAGTTGTCTTTATAAATAGAAAACCTAGTTGCCTTTATAAATAGAAAATCTAGTTGCTTTTATAAATAGAAAATCTTTAAAAATAGAAAACCTAGTTGCCTTATAAATAAAAAAAATAGGTGCACTTCTAAATAGAAAACCTAGTTGCTTATATAAATAGAAAACCTAGTTGCCTTTATAAACAGAAAATCTAGATGTCTTTATAAATAAAAAAAATCTAGTTTCCTTTTCAAACAGAAAATCTAGTTGTCTTTATAAATTTAAAACCTAGTTGCCTTTATAAATAGAAAATCTAGTTGCTTTTATAAATAGAAAACCTAGTTGCCTTTATAAACAGAAAATCTAGTTGTCTTTATAAATAAAAAAAAATCTAGTTGCCTTTATAAACAGAAAATCTAGTTGTCTTTATAAATAGAAAATCTAGTTGCTTTTATAAATAGAAAACCTAGTTGCCTTTATAAATAGAAAATCTAATTGCTTTTATAAAAAGAAAATCTAGTTACCTTTATAAATAGAAAACCTAGTTGCCTTTATAAATATAAAACCTAGTTGTCTTTATAAACAGAAAACCTAGTTGTCTTTATAAATAAAAAAAATCTAGTTGCCTTTATAAACAGAAAATCTAGTTGTCTTTATAAATAGAAAACCTAGTTGCCTTTATAAATAGAAAATCTAGTTGCTTTTATAAATAAAAAATCTAGTTGTCTTTATAAACATAAAATCTAGTTGTCTTTATAAACAGAAAATCTAGTTGCCTTATAAATCGAAAATCTAGTTGCTTTTATAAATAGAAAATCTAGTTGCTTTTATAAATAGAAAATCTAGTTGTCTTTATAAACAGAAAACCTAGTTGCCTTTATAAATAGAAAACCTAGTTGCCTTATAAATAAAAAAAATAGGTGCCCTTCTAAATAGAAAACCTAGTTGCTTATATAAATAGAAAACCTAGTTGCCTTTATAAACAGAAAATCTAGTTGTCTTTATAAATAAAAAAAATCTAGTTTCCTTTATAAACAGAAAATCTAGTTGTCTTTATAAACAGAAAATCTAGTTGTCTTTATAAACAGAAAATCTAGTTGCCTTATAAATAGAAAATCTAGTTGCTTTTATAAATAGAAAATCTAGTTGCTTTTATAAATAGAAAACCTAGTTGCCTTTATAAACAGAAAATCTAGTTGTCTTTATAAATAAAAAAAATCTAGTTGCCTTTATAAACAGAAAATCTAGTTGTCTTTATAAATAGAAAACCTAGTTGCCTTTATAAATAGAAAACCTAGTTGTCTTTATAAACAGAAAATCTAGTTGTCTTTATAAATAAAAAAAATCTAGTTGCTTTATAAACAGAAAATCTAGTTGTCTTTATAAATAGAAAACCTAGTTGCCTTTATAAATAGAAAATCTAGTTGCCTTTATAAATAGAAAACCTAGTTGCTTTTATAAATAGAAAACCTAGTTACCTTTATAAATAGAAAACCTAGTTGCCTTTATAAATAGAAAACTTAGTTGCTTTTATAAATAGAAAACCTAGTTGCCTTTATAAATAGAAAACCTAGTTGCTTATATAAGTAGAAAACCTAGTTGCTTTTATAAATAGAAAACCTAGTTGCCTTTATAAATAAAAAAACCTAGTTGCTTATATAAGTAGAAAACCTAGTTGCTTTTATAAATAGAAAACCTAGTTGCCTTTATCAATAGAAAACCTAGTTGCTTTTATAAATAGAAAAGCTAGTTGCCTTTATAAATAGAAAACCTAGTTGCTTTTATAAATAGAAAACCTAGTTGCCTTTATAAGTAGAAAACCTAGTTGCTTTTATAAATAGATAATAAATAACATGTAACTATCCGTATCTCAATCATTTCATGTAAAAGCCATCAAATGCTAATTAAATGAATCTAATAGCCATCCTGGATAATTCAAGATGTTAATCAAAAATCTTCAGAAAGAGTGGCTGATTTTTTGAAACCATATTTATCCTGCATAAAAATTACGTAAATAATATACAGCAAACAGTAGCATATGGAAAATGATCCATCATACACTTTCATAACGATAAGCAAAAACTAGTTCAGACATTCTATATGAAACTACTTATAATGAAAACCATTCCATGTAGTTCATAACAAAGTCATAATGTAAACAGTATATACTAAACATCATCTGAATAGTTCACAAAATGAATAACATAATACTTTATAGTTAAGATCAAAGTATGATTCCAGTCATAAACATAAAATTCTATTGAATTTCAGGATAGAAAAAGAATAAATGGTCAGGGAAAATGTACGAAACCAATTTTTTTAGTGAGTTAATTTCTATTTAAATGACTAGTCCACATAAAAAAATTTAGACTTTTCTTATTTTGACCGATAAATGGCCAAAAACAAGAAAATTATTGAAATAAGCACGCAAAGCAGAATATGCCTCAAGCAACTTAGAAGTCTTGATAGTAATAAAGATTTACTGCATATTTATATGCATTAGGCTGAAACAATTTGATAATTTTTAGAATCTAACTCATCCCAGACTCCATTTCATTAAGCGTCCAATCAAAACTGTTGTCTCTATAACATGTTCACAAGACAGGACATTCAATAAAACAAGTTTGAATAGAGTACAGAACGTGTTCCATGTGTGGAAAAAATTGTAGGTGTAGACAGATTTAAAAATGGCGGAGAACGAAAAAAGGTGGCAAAATTCTGAATGTGACATATTTGGTATTTTTATCCCAGAGTTCAGAAATCTATGCTTTTTTTTTTCCTCCTTTGTAAAATAAGTATAATTTATGTGATAAGGTGGAGTAACATAGAATATTGACATTTCTACTACCATTTCCTTCGATGAACCAGTGACACAAACAGGTGTTCATTTATGATAAACTGTAGTTTGTCACGTGATACTATGATGTTGTCAAAGCACGACAATGATGCAATCTAAGATTTGTGGCAAATTAAAGGACCCGATCATATAAAAAAGTGAAAATTGTGTTAATAAAAGCATCTGAATATAACTATAAGAATTAAACGTTGGACTCACTAGCATTATTGGTGATCACGCCACAAATATACATAAAAGACTTCGTCAGTTATTCAGTTTGTCACGTGACCAACTGTGTTTACACAAATAATGCTAGTGAGACCAACGTTTAATTCTTAATATTTCCACTCTCACTGTATTTGTCAAAGTGAACCCTTTGACAAGAAATGCATTCAAATTCGCGTAAACTGGAGTGGGTCACGTGGTCACATTCCTGAGCAATATGGCTGCTGTTGAAGCCTTATTTTTGTAACGGCAATCTTTTTGAAATAAAATTTAACAATCGGAAACTTCATGAAAAGAATACATTAGACAGTGGAAATATAAGCAATGAACCCACTGCAGTTACAGTGATATGAATACATTGGGCACGGTGCAAATTGAATGAGCTGCCGAAGGCACTTACTTTATTTCTGTGTATTAATGCTAAGTTCACACCAACGGCGCTTAGATTGCGCTTTAAAGCGGCGTTCAAAGCGGTACCAAAGTTCGACTAAATAGCCAGGGTCGTAATAGATCGTTGGAAAGCTTTGAGCAAAGCTGGATATTCGGCAAGAGCGCCAAAATTTTTTAAACTGTTTAATAATTTTGGGCGCTCTGTCACGAATTGATTAAAGCGCCGAGAACGTATCAAACCTTAACAAAGCGTAACAAAGTTCAGCATAGCTTGACTCAAAGCTTGATAATCGTATCAGAGCATGATTTAAAGCGTCATAACCGCATCAAAGCTTTATAAAGCTTATCAAAGCGTGATTTAAAGCGTAACAAGGCCTGATCAAATCGGGAAATAATTTGTACCCAAAGCGTAACCCATTCGTATCAGAGCTTATCAGAGCGTAACATTACTTAGGAGATCGTGATATTTTTTGAAAAGTAAACAAAAAATGATGGCGCTTTGCTCGCCGATTTAAAGCACGGCATTCGCCGTTGGTGTGAACTAGGCATTAGCAAGCAGTCTAAGGAATTATATGATAATTGTTGAGTATCAATTAATTGTTTAATATAGGTATATGTGACAGCTTTGGCATAAAGTGGTTAGCCATAATGTGTGTCTGCTGAATAGAGGTGAAGTCGTATGAAAACTGTATGGTGAATTTTTATTGGTTATTAACAATAATTGACGGATCATGCTGAATACAGTTGACTGTTTAACTGTACATGACTATCAATGGTGTTTCTAAGTGGGGTCAGGGTGCAATGCTTGCCAAACCACTCTCAAATTTCGTTATCATTTTATATAGGGAAAGAATTGCCTGTGGCCCCTACTCGTCCAAAACAACCCACCCCAACCCAAAATTTAATTATAGACACATCACAGATGATCATATAAAATATATTATGTAACAACTATCACTTACTTGTAATGACTCTGATAAATCCTGCCATCTTTGATTTAGATGAGTTAATTCAGGTTCTACCATTTTACTATACTGGTCACTTTTACTCATCAAACAAATAGCTGATATTCTTACTTCATCAATATCACTTTTATGATCATTGACATCACATTCTATATTCTACAAAAATATCAAAAACATTTCATATTTAGATACATGTATGTACACAATTACAAGTTATCACAATTGAAGGGGATTGTAAGGAAGTTTTCTTGATTTTGTTCTTGCATTAGGCCATTAATGGCTTGTTTTTGCATCATTCCAATTTTCTGTCAGATGTCTGTGATTCCTGGTATTGTAGAAATACTGTCACTATTGCAAAAGCTGCATGCTCAGGACCTCATCAATAGCCACTTCATAAAATGCTTAAAGGGACAGATGCAGCATTTTGGGGGGTTGATTTGAGAGTTGATTATATGTAATTAGTCTTCAGAAATACTAGAAATGTACAAAAATCACATAATTCCTTTAAAAATACTTCAAACTAGGAATTTTACTCTCTATTTCTATATATCACAGAGTATCTTAAATTGACGAGTCAACATTTTAACATTCTATAGATAATTCTGAACACATATGGATTTGAAAGCTCAAATTTCGACGGTGAGCTGTGAACACTATTACTGATTAGCTCAGCTAAAAAATTCCAGTTTCTGAGAGTAAAGTATGATTGGTCGAAAACATGACCTATCTGTCTCTTTAATTTTTATGGAATCGCAAAAACCACATACTGAAAACATTTAACAATTACTATAACTAACAAATAATGCTATGGACTAGATGCAAATTCTCATACAAAATTGATCAAAATATCTAAATCTACAGGTAAATCGATTTGTCCCTGATGCACAAAAAAACAGACTGGAAGATTAAAATTCTTCTAAGAAGTATTTGGATAAAAAAAATAAATTGACTAATTACCTTCATAATCTTGGCCTGTTCCTGTGTATATCTATCTTTAATATGTAATTTCTTGTTTTGACCAACTTTCCCTTCACATAGACTTAACCAATCTTTTAATGCCATGATCTTGGTTTGAAACTCAATAAATATTCCATCTAGTTTACCCTCTTCTTGCTGTAAATTCCAATTACAAAAAAACTTAATACTTAAAGGGATTTTAAAAAGGTTTTCTAAAATTTTCATGAGTATCTTGGACACTGATAGCATCAATTTGCACCATTCCAAATTTTCAATCGGGTAGGGCCAGAGTTGTTAGGCTAGTGTCGAAAAAGGGTTGCTCTGATCAATCTATCAAATTCAGTTGATTGGTATAGTGAATAATTAGGCTTTTAAATTTTTTTGATGCATATCTAAATAAGTATTTAACGTACCTGAATATGTTCTTTCCATTCAGCTACTTGAATTGATAATGCTGACCAGTCCATATTCAATTGGCTATTTGCTTCAACAGCAAGATTGACCTCCCCTTCATCTGCTACCATATCTTTCATTAAATGTACAGAATCACTTATAGATGTCAATACAGGCTGATGTTTTATTATATCAATTTCTAATTGCTGAAATATATAAACAACGTTATTTTATCTATTTCATATTTCTATGGGTGTGCTTGATGGATGACTTTTGCACAATTGGCATTCAATAAAACAAGTTGGATCAGGATTCTAAATGTTTTCCATATGTACCAAAAAGAATATGTGTTGACAGAATTCAAAATGGCGGAAAAGAAATTGGAGGGAAAATTTTGATTGTGACATGTTCGGTTTCGTACCATTTGATCAAGGCCAGAATTGGAACAGACGAAACCTTTTTAGAACTTACCAATCACACACCACCCAAAATTAAAGAAAAGGGCAACAACTCTGTTTTAAATCATTCCATAGCGCTGATAATGGCAATTTAACCTTGACAGATGAGTGCCGACCATATATCAACATAAAGAAGTTTTAAGGATGTAAAAAAGCCAAATTTACCTGAATGAATTTTTTTTCTTGATCAACTTCTACCGTATCCAATTTTTTCTTTTCTTCTAATTTTGCCAAATTTACTTTAATAAATTCTTCTATTAACAGATGCTCTTTCTTATACTTCTTACTTAACTTCAACGCTTTTTCTAAATTGACTTTTCCTTGAGTAACCTGAAATACGTTTAACATCCAGTGATTATTACAAAGAATTGCCAAGATTTAGTACTTATAACATAGAAATTTAACAGTAGACAGAGCAATTGATCTCAAATTAATTCTCTGATTAACTCTGAAGGGATATACATAAGAGATATTGTCATGTTAAGGGGTAGACAGAAACTGTCACTTTTTATTGAAGCTGCTCTAATCCATTTTTGGATCGCTAGGTTTTGAGAATTTCATCAAGACAAAAGCCAAATTTGGCATCATTTCTGGTATCTTTACAAGGCTAAATCATTAATGAGTCCATCAAGATATTGCTGGATATTCCAAAATACAGTCAAGGGGTAAGCCTTTCCTTTCTTAGTTATATGTCATTATCCCTTTCTTTTATAAATCATATGTCATTATCCCTTTCTTTTATAAGTTATATGTCATTATCCCTTTCTTTTATGAATCATATGTCATTATCCCTTTCTTTTATGAATCATATGTCATTATCCCTTTCTTTTATAAGTCATATGTTATTATCCCTTTCTTTTATAAGTTATATGTTATTATCCCTTTCTTTATAAGTTATATGTCAATACCCCTTTCTTTTATGAATCATATGTCATTATCCCTTTCTTTTATGAATCATATGTCATTATCCCTTTCTTTTATAAATCATATGTCATTATCCCTTTCTTTTATAAGTTATATGTTATTATCCCTTTCTTTTATAAGTTATATGTTATTATCCCTTTCTTTTATAAGTTATATGTCATTATCCCTTTCTTTATAAGTTATATGTCAATACCCCTTTCTTTTATAAGTTATAAGTCATATGTCATTATCCCTTCTTTTATAAATTATATGTCAATATCATACCATTTCTGATAAATTAACACAAAATCTCACCTGTGCTCCCAAATCATTATACTGTTTCTTTATTGCGTCTAATTGCTTGTTTAGTTTATCAGGAAAATCTACTTGTTTTTTATCCACCACATGCCGCCCAGTTTTAATAACATATTCTACTTCACTCTTTAATTCACTTAATGTTCTATAGAACGTCTAAAAGAAAATACAGATCATAAACTAACTTAAGTAAAAGTTTTTTGGGGGGTTGGCAAAAATGAATTAAGGTAGAAGAATTAAGCAAACATCAAATGTCGCTCTAATAGTTTTCACGCTTAAGTTATCTTTGGCCTACTTTAATGTAAAATGTCTACAATTTTTTTTCTCATCACATTCATTGGTCTAACAATTTCACAGCATCACGACACATTCTCAGAAAACTAAATTTAACTATAGATAGAGCAACAGATTGTTTTTGAACAAGGCCATCATGTTGATCAAATACAGAAAACATGTTGGTCTAGAATGTCCCAGCTCAGAAAAATTTTAAAATTTCCTTTTCAAATCAAATTATACATGTTTTTTTTTTCTTCATTGTATTCTTTTATTGACTTGTGTTGGAAGTATTTTGCTAGAATAAATTGTATTATTTTAATTTTTTTTTTGTGCTGAAAGTTCTAGACTACCAACCTTTAATTCAAACCTAACTGTCATAAGATATTAAATAGTAAAATTTGGTACTAGTTTATTAAATACTCACCATACATTGTTCATGTCTATCTGTGATATCTGAAGGGTTAAAGTTGGGTACCTCTAACATATATGATCTATCTTGGATATTATCCATCTCCCTTTTAACATGACTCAATTTAGGGTCAAAATTAGTCGGACGCTGGAACTTTCGAAACTTCAGTGTTACATCAGCGAAATGTTTCTGAAAAATGAACCAATTATGAACTAACAGATTACTTATGTTTCTGAACTAAAGTTACGAACTGGTATGATTCTCTGATATATTTTAAAATGAAATCTTTTTCAATAAATTGTAGGTGGACATCGAATCAAAATTCCATCCTAATAAGTGACATGGGTACCCCTGGAATAATTACCTTTAAAAGTGTAGTCTGTTGTTCCAGTCTTTGTCCAGCTTCTTCTTTACCTTGTAATTTATATTTTTTACTACTTTCTTCTAGTTCTTCCAGTAGTTTTTCTTCTTCTGCGAACTCTCTCTTTAAAGTCTATACAATATACAATAACAAGGTTGTTCATTTGAATAATTTTAGTGAGCCAGTTAATCAACTAGATATACAATCAAACAAAGTGTGTTCGGGGGGAAAGAGGTTTCCCTCCAACCCTAGGCAAGAAGTTCAACCCTCCTACTAATTTTCATAATTTAGGCCATTTCAAAATTATTTTACCTTCTTGGTTGGACAAATTTGTGATTAACTTGCAACAACCAAGTCAATAGATGTCTCATTTTCAGCTCTTCATAAACACTTCATTTTAATATTCTTTTCGTTGCTCGCATACTTAAACCTCTACTGATCTTAGTGAAGAGAATATCAGACTGCAATATGAAAGGTTCGAGTTAACTTACTGACCTTATTTCTAAGTGACTAGTATATTTACCTCAAATTCTTCTGGATTGTCACCAGCTAATATATCAGCATCTAGACGTAGTTGTAAATGTTGAGATATATCTGACATCCATTGTGTCATCTCTAACATTTTTCGCTCTATGTTCTGAGCTCTATTAATATTCTGTTCTAACTGCTCCATTTTACTTTTAGCCTACAATCATAAAATAGATGTTTGTCTTGTTGTCGTTCAAATTGACATTAAGGCCAGAAAGCAGAAAAAATACTAATGCCTCTCATGTTCATGGTCATACAATTTTCAACCAATCAAATGTTAAGTTTTCGAGAGCAAAAAAACGTGTTCAATAAAAGATTTTCGTACTATATGTGAGGAATTCTGGGATATTCATTGTTATACCATTGACATGCATGTCTGCCAACTTTAACACTTTCAACCCTAGGCCAGATTGTAAGCCAATATATACCCAAACGGTCGGAAGAGCAGCCATACTAAATGATGTCACGCAACGTTAAGGACATTTTTGGTTAAATTTTGACCAAGCACAATTCAGAGAAGAATTTTGGTAGATTAACTGTAGTAATCTGTAGAAAGAGCAAAAAACAAATCTGCATCTTAATCAAATTGGTTATCCTTATAAAATATGGCCATTTCTTTTTTGTCCTATAAACCTTCTTGAAATGCCTACCTCAACTTCTAGAGTTTCTGATCTTTTTGTAATATCCTGATATTGTTTCTGAACAGAATCTACCATAATGGAATTATTAATTAATTCATTGTAAATAGCAGTCAAGGTCTCTCTTTCACTTGTATCATGGTTCTTAATAACTGTTTCTATAGCCTACAACAAAACAGTAGATTATAGCTTATAGATTTAGTCTGAGTTGATATACTCTGAGTGTAGTAATATTACATAAATCATAATACCAATATAGTATAAAAAGCTTAAAAAATAAAACCATTTAGCTAGCAGGTAATAAACAACAGACAGGCAAATTTCTGTTGATATGTAGCAGAAATAGCACAGACACAAAGTTCTGTGAGCCATCCATAATGCCCAGAGGTTTTGTGCTAATAAATGTATTTTTATACTGACAGTTAGCTTACATTAATTAATAAAAAAGAAATATAACACTGACTAGGTGCTTTTCTCATTAAATATCTCTAAAGTTAGCAAATTTTACTAAACATCCCTTTGACTGCCATGTCGAAAAATAACAAATTTGAAAAAATCACAGAAAAAGTGGCCAGACACAGAATTCTAATACTGACAGCTTGTAACTAAAATTAAGTTACGCATACAGCTGATACAGGCTGGATAAAACATCCTTATTCTGAAGTTCCCATCCTAAACCATTATTCTTTATGTAAACCATACTTACATTGAGTTCTTCAGATATATCTTCAGCATCAGAACTAGTTAATTTAGTAGTGGATACTAATTTCTGAAGACTGTTTAGATATCTTTCTTCATTTTCAATAATATCTATAATATAGAATTAAATAATAGTTTATTATATACCATTAATATCATCAATGGGTGGCTGCTAAATAGGTCCGCACATCAGTAAATTCCATTGCAGCTTTCATCTTTTGGACTACTTTTCACACAACTCAATATTCTCAATACAACTCTTTCACAACACTCTTCTTACTTAACACACATCTATCATTACACTTACTCCTAACACAATTCTCTTACAACACACACCATTAACAACACAATCTTACCTTGAGATCTTATCAACACATCTGTCACAACACAACAACACTCAATAACACACTTCTTACTTAACACATGTCTTTAATACCACTTACTCCTCACACAATTCTCTTACAACACACACCATTAATAACACAATCTTACCTCTTAAGATCTAATAACACACAACTGTCACAACACAACATTTCAATAACAACACATTTCTTACTTAACACCCATCTGTAATAGCACTTACTCCTCACACACTGCTCTCACCTCTAACAACACACGCTTATTACAACAGACACCTTTTCTGACACAAATCTTTTACAACACATACCACTCACAACACATTTGTTACAACAATTATCTCCAAACAAACACCTCTTACAACACACAACACAATATGACCATAATCATTCACAATAATTATAACCAACTCAAAAAGAGTCAATATATACCTTCAAATTGGTGCCAATGAGTCTCTGAAGATTGGTAAATATTGGAATATCTATCTACTCTTTGATTGACTTCTGTCCATAATAGATTTAATTTCATCAAGGATCTAGCTAATTCTTGTAATGTACCAGTTCCAGCTAAACTGAGCTGATCATTTGTGTCTTCATTAATCTCATTTAATTCACTTTCTCTTTTCTGTAGTTCATTCTTTAAATTCTAAAACAAAACATATATTGCCATGGTTACAGGACACTCTTAAATATTTAATTAATGATATCTTAATGGAAAGATAGAAAGAAACAACTATATTTTACAAGGATAACAACTTAGGTTCACAGTTAAAGGTCCTTTCTACCAGCTGATGCTTGGCAAAAACTCTTGGCATTAATCTTTCCCAGATTATCCGTACCCATTTACAGCTAAGTCAACTGGAATTATTAACGATCATCTAACTTTCATGAGCCGATTCAGATCGGAACTCACATCCACCATTTGATTCACCATGGTAATGCAATAATAACATAGAGATTGGATATATCTAAACTTAAGACTTACCTTAAACCTGATATTTTCTGTAGTTAAATCTTCCAATGTTTTAATAGAATAATCTTTATTAGATAATGTTTCTTTTATATTCTCTAACCACTCTATTAATTCATCTATATTATCATACATCTTATTACTCTTAATAATCTTTTCTTTTAATCTTTCATTCTGTTCTTTAGCTAGTTTAATAGTCATCTCCCAGTTCTTATTCAGCTCACTGACTTGAGTATTCAGCTTCTCCTGATAAGCTGTTTCCATGTTCTCACCAATTGACTTGCTGATATTATTAACGTTGGTTATATTCTGTTTTAAGGTAACAATATCTTCTGTTACACCCTAAATAACAAAAATATATCAATTACATTATTGTAATGAGAAAGCTTAAAAATAAAAGGTTGGCTTGCAAAGTAACACACACCTACAATTTTGCTTTGTTGAAATCAAATTTAAAGGAATACTTCCTCTTAGAATGAATTCAGATTTTCAAACTGGACCAATAAGAGAATATATTAATCAGTATTGAATTTATCAGGTGTCCCTGTATAGAACAAAAAATCCATAAAACTAAATAATTATTGAAAAACACTGTAGTCTTATGGATTAATTGGATTATAGAAGGATTTTGTTGTATAGTTATGACACCAGATAAGTTCATTGACTTATTTTGGTCATGTATACATGTAGCTTCCGTTTGCATCATTTCTGTATCCTATCAGACAGCCTTAATTTCTGTTACTTTCCAGATTATGCTGGCACTATCCTCATACTATTTAGTTTAAATCCCAAATTTTTTTTTAAATCCAATTTCAATCAATAATCAAGATAAGTATACAAATCAAAAGCTGACTTTAATATCTTAAAACAATAAGAAATAGTAATCAGATATATACATACATTGCTCTCATGTAATTGTGCTTCTAATGTTGGTAGATCACCTATTAAAGGATCTTCAGCATGTAAAAATACATCCATTTCATCCATCCAACAAATCAGTCCTTGCATTTGATTCTGAAGAAAAAAAATTGATAACTGGTAAATAAAGTAAGATTTCAGTATTATCCAGGAATTACAAGAATTTTGAAATCATCATAAAAAGTTATCATTTCCAAGTTATGTATGGAAACAAATATTTCTCAATATCAAAATTGAAAAACAAATGTTTTGCTACTATATGAAAGATAACTTTACAGGCAAGGTAAAATACACCCACTGGCAGCTTTGATTTTAAATAAAAATATTTGGCTCTTCATGTAGGCGTATAAAATATACCAGGGCCAATATGACAATTTGTATATAAACAACTAATATCTAGAATCCCAAGATTTCACATCTTTGCTACTCTTTAAGTTCCAAGCGAAAATGGCTTACCTGAAAAAGACGTTGCTGAGCCAAAGATTTTTCTAACTGTGTAAGTCTTTCATTAATAGTAGTAGATATATTTCTCCAATGACTATTAATATTATCTAAATCTTTATTTATTGTTGCTATTTGTTCTGGTGAATTCTTAATAAGTTCCGTACCAGTTTGCTGTATATAGTTTATGCTAGCTTGATGACCTCGAACATCACTTTGATATTCCTTAAAAAAGAAAGTCAGTAATAACATTGACAAACTTTCATTTGATATTCCTAGAAGATATGTTAACAATAGCAGACAACAATCTGATAGTCCTAAAAATATATTAACATTAAAGCTATCATGCTCTTATTTCACTAAAATAAATTATCTAAAAAAAAAATAGACCACTTACTGTTAGAAGTTGCAATACTTTTTGAAGAAATGAAATGAAATGAATGGAGTTTTAGGTCCTACTTTTCTGCAACATGTGGGCTAAGGAATTTTTTTATTTCAAGAGCATGATAGCTTTAATCATTTCAAAAATAAACATAGGCTCAGGTGCATACATGAAATTTAACAATCCCATAATTACATTAACAATTCTAATCAATACAGTCCATATTCTTCTCAAAACAAAGTTAATATTTAAACTAAATTGAAGTACAAAATTTATTTCAAAAAAATAAACCGTAATTGATGGAAACATGAAATGAGTACTAACTTTATATTGAGCAAGTTGTTTTTCTGTTGATTCTACATCAGTTATTTTGACTTTCTCTCCTTTTAAAATGTTCTCCATATCACATATCCATTTTAATAAAGCTTGCATAGCATCAACATATGACTTAGGTGGTGTTTTCTCCATATATTTCTCTAGAGCAGTCAAGTTTAAACCTAAAGCACAAACATAACATCTTATATCACAGACATCTTATAATTGTAATATCACCCTGTAGATCACTTAGGCCCTACTCGTTTACAACCAATCTGAAACTGGATTCCGAATCCGTGTCACTGGTTTACAATGGTTTGCCCTGAATCTTAATCCGGATTTCCAATCCGTTTCCTAGGGCAGATTCGTTGGATTCAAGATGGCGTCATTCATAGGGCACTTATAGTTTTAAATTAGTCTTGCTTTTCGAATCTGTTTCACTCGTTTACAACATGAATCTGATGTACCAAACTGGTTTCAGATTTTTTGTAATCGAGTAGGGCCTTATACAAAGTGATAACATCTTCTGGTTATGTTTTATCAAAAAAAATATATAACAAAGTTTCAGGTACTTCTTTGGCTTAATACATCTTCAGTTTTTAACGATCTCAATCCAGTTCGCTTACTTCTGCTCCGAAAGCCTGATTTTGAAAAGTTTAACACCATTACCAAGCTAGATGTCCTGATGAGGACTGTGAATTTGAAATGCATTTCAGCAGCACAAGATAAGCTCTAGTTAAACTGCTGAGGTTATTGATATTTTGATTGGTCAAAGATCTATTTTTTTATTTTAACTTAATCCTTTATATATTAAAACAGAGGAAACATGAATTTGAGTGTAATTCTTGCATAAGGGCTAAATAGCCTGGATAATTGAAGATGGAAGCTAAATGATTTTCTTTTCATGTCTTTTTTAACCTATCAATATAAAACTATAACAGCATTGGTATGGCTTACCCATTCTTTCATAAGTCAAATCCCACGAAGCCTTAAATACTCCATAATCCAGCATCATTTTCGATTCTGTTCCAAAATTATTGGCTTCATTATGTAGTTTCTCAATTCTGGAGTCATGATTTTTCATTGCTTTCAATTTGACCTGCGGAAAAATCAATGTTTTATGAAATTATAATATCTATTCTGATAGAAGAGCTCCAGATTTTTTGTTTGTGAGTGGATTTCTTAACTTACAGTAGGATCTGAAGATGTTTATAAGAAATTTATGTTAATAAATTCAACCAATCAAATGACATTTTCAGTAGCAGATCAATCACCACTTAGTATGGGCTGACAATTTCAGCAATTTTCAAGCTAGTACAGAAAATTAGAAAGACGTAAATAAACCCATTAAGTGTCTCCAAATGTTGAATTTTTGAATAAAAGTTTAAATTAGAAGCTCAGCAATTTCAAGTATAGTACAGAAAAGTAGAATGACATAGATAAAAGCAACCAGAACTGTGAACAGCTCTGAGTGTGGCATGAGACCTTATCCAATGAACGAAAATAATCATTACAAAATCAAAATGTGACAAATCGATAACGATTTGCCACGCAATAAGTGTCCTTAAATGAAAAAATTTAATCTGTTTAATACAAAATCTAAATGTACCTTGCACTGATCTAGAATCTTCTTCACCTCAGTACTGTCACTAGGAATTTGGGAATTATTTTCTAGCCATAATTCATAGCTTGATAATATCTTCTGTAAATCATCTAGTTCGTTGTACCATTTTCTACTGCTCATATTAGATTCTATATGACGTTTTGTCTGAGTGAGATTAGTAGTTAACTCTTTCCACCTGTTTTCTAATTTATTCATGGCTGACGATGTTTCTGATCCTAAATCTAACATAGCTTTATCTGTAATAATAAAACACATTATGTTATGTAACGTAATGTAATATAACGTAACATAACGTAACGTATTATGTTATAAAATAGCGCTAAATACATCAATTGTAGAGCGATATAGAAATATTAAAACAGAACCTAAAAAACATGTTGTTATATTATATCCTAAAAAACATGTTATGTTATGTTATGTTATGTTATGTTATGTTATATTATGTTATGTTATGTTATGTGGCATGTATTGTATTGTATTGTATTGTATTGTATTGTATTGTATTGTATTGTATTGTATTGTATTGTATTATATTATATTATTATTTTATATTATATTATATTATATTTTCGGTTATGTTATATCATATATATATATTTTCGCTACATGAAGATGTATCACTTTTCAAATGGAAATCTGACATTGTGTTAAGCCTTGATTGAAAACAATATATATCAAAACTTACCCTTTTTTAAATCTGAAACTGCAGCTTCACCAAGATCTATTGCTTGCTTAATTTCTCCTTTGTGTTCTTCAAAATCTTTCTCAACATCCTGCAGATTAAATTCATATTACATAAACTTATATATTGATAAATTGAATTTGAATTGATCCATTCCTTGAGCCCTTGTATTAAAACTTATACCCATGGTCTATACAAGTAAGAGAACAAATAGAGAAAATCGTTTTTAATATTGAGAGCATTGTACTATAGCAGTGACTGAAATCATTCTCAAATGTTGGTTCTTATATAAGTCTACATGTGAAAATCTAAGATAACTTAAGAAATATCAATGCCTAAAAAAACCCTCAGAATTTAATCAGTGATGTTTCTATTTATATTTGTTTTCTATTTAAACCATCAACAATAATGCATCATCATTTACCAGAACTAAAACCATTTTTTCCTCTTCTGTAAATTGTTGCTGGCCCTCAGTAGAAGTTAGTAATTGTAGGGTACCTTCAATACGATCAAACCAATCATTCAATTCTCTCAATTTCTTCTCAAAATCTAATATATTGCCAGTTTTCTGTGCAGATTGTTGTGGTACATTAACAGCTTTCACAAAATCTGTTGAATCTAAATCTTTAGAAAGTTCTACACCAGAGTTAGCAATCTAAAATACGGTTAAAAAGTTTCATTACAGTGTTTAAGTAACATCCGTGTGACCCATCATACCTTAGTCTCAGAAACAGGAATTTTCAGCCAAGTCAAGTTGGTGCCTGCAAATCCATGTGTGTCCCTACCCTTAGAAAAAAATGCAGGGGAACATATGTTTAAAAAAAATTCCCGTAGGAGGAACCCCAGCTCACTTAAAAATCCACAGGCGCCCCACTTAAGTCCCAGACAATCATTTGTTTTTCCCAGAAAATAAAGCCAAAATATATGATAGGTCTAAAATAGCTCTGTATGACTATTATGAATGTTTTTAAGTTTTCATATGGAAAAAGCTATTACATAGTTTCTTTACCTCTTTACTCTGTAGTTCCATTTGTTGAACTAGCTGTTCCCATCTTATTTGTAAAATTTCCAATTGACCACTAATTTCTTCCATAACTTCTTTACTATTCACTTTTTCAACTATGGCTTGACCACAAACATTTAAATTATCAAATCTAGCTACTTGTTCAACCATATCATGTTCTATCAACTAAAATATATGATAATATATAATCTAGAATATCATGTTCTATCAACTAAAATATATGATAATATATAATCTAGAATATCATGTTCTATCAACTAAAATATATCATAATATATAATCTAGAATATCATGTTCTATCAACTAAAATATATCATAATATATAATCTAGAATATCATGTTCTATCAACTAAAATATATCATAATATATAATCTAGAATATCATGTTCTATCAACTAAAATATATCATAATATATAATCTAGAATATCATGTTCTATCAACTAAAATATATCATAATATATAATCTAGAATATCATGTTCTATCAACTAAAATATATCATAATATATAATCTAGAATATCATGTTCTATCAACTAAAATATATCATAATATATAATCTAGAATATCATGTTCTATCAACTAAAATATATCATAATATATAATCTAGAATATCATGTTCTATCAATCTAGAATATCATGTTTTATCAACTAAAATATATTATAATATATAATCTAGAATATTATGTTCTATCAACTGAAATATATCATAATATGTATTCTAGAATATCATGTTTTATCAACTAAAATATATTATAATATATATTCTAAAATCTAGAAATATATAAGCAAATCTAGAATATAAATGTTTTATGATCTAGAAATATATAATCAAATCTAGAATATTATGTTCTATTATATAATCACATCTAGAATATCATGTTCTATTATCTAGAAATATATAATCAAATCTAGAATATAAATGTTTTATGATCTAGAAATATATAATCAAATCTAGAATATCATGTTCCATTATATAATCACATCTAGAATATCATGTTCTATGATCTTAAAATATATAATCAAATCTAGAATATCATGTTCTGTTATATAGAAATATATAATTAAATCCAGAAATATAATGTTCTATAAACTAGAAATATAATCAATTCTAGAATATCAATGTTTAATGATCTAGAAATGTATAATAGACATATTATTTTTTATTATCTAGCAAGATATTATCAAATCTAGAATATCATGTTCTATCATCTAGAAATATAACATTCACAGATTGAGAATTACATAATCAAATCTAGAATATTGTGTTCTATTATCTAAAACAACATAAGCAAATCTAGACATATAACGTACATAAACTTTAGTATCATGTATCATCAAATATCATGTTCTTGGCTGACCATGATTATAGATAGCTTTAGGTGGATAAAAGCCAAGCTAAAATATCACGTGACTGATTCCAATCAAGTAAGGAAACAGATTGTGATTAATGTCGACACGTATAGTAATAATTTATATGTTTTGAAAACTAAATTATGCACGTACCTTAAGTTCTCTGACTTGATGTTCAACCTGTTCTGGTTTACTTAAATCAGCTTTAGACATAGCTTTCAATACCTGCTCTTTAGATGCTAACCAATTAGAGAACTGCAGTTGTTCACTATTAAAATGTTGCCATTTTAACAAGACATCTTGTAGTAGTATCCATTGTTCTTCTGTCCAATGACAAATATTACTCCATCTCTTTCCAAGTAATTCTAGCTCTTTCTCCATCTTATCACAAACTACAATAATACAAGACATAAACCTACAGTAGAGTTCTTGGCACAACTATCCATCATAAAGCAAAACTCAATGACACCAGTAGTTCGAATGCATACTAATAAAAATCGGATCTTCTTAAAATGAGTGATCTTGTTTTTAATTTTACTTTAAATATTTAGAACCATGACAGTCAATTTACCATCTTTTCTACGGAGGATTTGCTCAAAAGTTTACATGTTTAAAGTAAACTCATTTGGATGACAATAATTCACATATATTTGGATGTTTAAGGAACCTATTTGTTCACTTCATTGGGTACAAGGGTCAAAGGTCAATTTGCCCTTCCTCGAAATATGGAACAAACTTTTTCATTTAATATTCTTTCAAAACTTTTCTTTCACATTTATAAACCTACATCCGTTATAGCAAGATGGATGCATTGCACTTGATAAATCATATCAGTAAGCCTTTGTTTTTTTTAGATCAAGTAGGTAACTCTCAGGCTTGTATTTAGCTCTTTCAATTAAAGATAGACTATAACGCCTACCTTCCTGTGAGTTCTCATCATCTATAACAACTACCATATTCTGTAGACTATCCACAATATCTTGTTCCTTTTCTACAGCATCTTGAATTTTCTACCGAAAAAATAACAAAGATACAAAGGTTATTTCATGTTCTTCTTTTCCGCTGATGTAGCTATCATGAAGTAAAAAATTGTATGCACTATACAATTAGTAAACTGATACCTTTCCTATTTAGAACTATCTAGGAAATTTGATTTGCACATCCTGGTGGATATGAAGAGCCTTTGGTGTTGTAGCAAACACCACTTAGAAGTATGTCATCCATTCCTGCACAATTTAATGATTTTTCGTTCTGGTTTCCACTCCTAAGTTTTCATTGCTTAGCATTAATCCTTGTAGCTCCTTCCTTTGCTTAGGAAAAGTCAAACCATTTCTTCCCATAATCATACCTTGTGTGTTTCTATCTGGTTTTGTATTGTCTTTAAATCTGTACCAATCGTATCATGTGTTTTTATATGATTTTCCATCCAACTTAACCATTTAGAGAGTTCTTCTAATTGTTCATGTTGCAATGTCATTAACAACTTCTGAAGCCTATAGACAATAAAAAAATATATAAAACATTTGCAAAAGATGGTAAGTATCCTTTTCTAAGTTGGTTAAGAAGCATAGAGCCATAAAAATAGATTGTGAAGGATACAAACTGAAAACTTAATGTTACGTCAAGAAAATATGGATTCCAGTCGATTTATTCTGAGTAATTCAGATTAGGCCATGATCACAACTGGCAGATAAATAAGGATACAATTATCCAAAGCATCAATAGAACTTTCCATCTGGATCATTGATAACCACTCAAATCAATAGCAAATACAATGTGGAAGAAAAATACCGGATGCCAATTGTTGTGAGATAGTAGTTGAAAGCCGACATGAGGCCGTCTTTCAGAAGCACGGGCAGTGTCATCAGAATCAGGATATGAACCCATGGGACCTAATTCTCTAGCAGAAGATAATCTAACTTGCTACAGGTTGAGATTATTCCCAAAAAAATCTGTTTACCTAGTTTGTCTTTCCAATGATTTCTGACGTAAAGATTCCCAGCGTTTATTGAGTAGTTCCATTTGAACATGGATTTCATCTTTTTCTTCTTCACTGACTCTAGTATCATTGATTAAATCATTGCCTTCTTTTAATACACTACCAATATTATCTTGATGTTCTGTTAAATCTAACATAAACTCCTAAAAACATCAATGATAAAATCTTTATATGCATGTAACAGAATTTCCTTTCTATATTCTTATAGCATGCAATTTCACTTCTGATTGAAAAAACAGAAGATTTAACTGCATTATGATTCATAAAGGGGGTACGAGTCTTCTGTCATCTAACCCTTGATATGGACACCTCAATTTCTCCATACTATAAATCACTAATTATAGGGATTGTAAAGAGTTTATCTAAATTTTTTATGTGTTACAGGGACACTGATAGCATCAATTTGCATAATTCCAATTTTCAGTCAGACGCCTGTGGTGCCTGCGATTCCATAAAAAAGTGTCTCTAGTTAAATTGCAAAATATGCTAGTATCTCATAAGGCTCTTTGGGATTAATGACATCATCAAAAGCTTAGTTTTAGTGGAATTTCAGGAACCACAGACGTCTGATTGAAAATTTGAATGGTATAAATTGATGGCAATTTGCCCAGTGGAAAGACACGAAAGCTAGCTTAAAGCCAGCATTTTCCCTCAGTGGAAACATAATCATGAACTAAAGCTTTACTTTCGCAATATTAGTCCCTACATGAGGTCAAATAAAAATTAAATTATCAAATGAAACCAAACCATACCTCATGTTTATTAAATTGTTGTTTAACTATAGAAACTTGTGTATGTATAGGTTCTTGGTTCTCTATAGTTTCTTCTGCAGCCAGTAACCATGCTAGTACATTCTCTAGTCCATCTTGGTATTGTAACAGATGAACTGAGGCAGTACTACATCTACTGGACTGAGGTTCACCACTTGACATTTTCTGTAAATAAAACAACCACAATTACTAATTTTGACTGGTATCGGGCAAAATTTAAAAGAACAGAAATTCTGGCTGAAATAAAATTTAAATACATTTATGGTCTCATTAAATGATATAAGCCTACAAAGTCTTTATCTCAAGCAAAAACTAAAACTTATTGTATCAAATTTCGTAACAATTTCATGGAAGATCAAACTGGTCTTTGGTATGAGTCTCTCCCAAATTATCAGCTTGGTTGTCTGGAATTATGATTGAAGATGACTTATTCAAGGTCATCAGAATTTCAAATGCTGACCGAGATTAGAAACCAGAGACCCGACTTGTTTTCAACATAGCCAAGCAAATGACGTCAAATACAGAATCAACATTCTAACGGTCTGTGCTACAGAATAAATTTTATATATTAATTATCTCAAATTTCCAAATACACAATCTTTGTATAAATAGTATCATCTACAGTTAAGTAGCCAAAAATATTCAGCTGAGAATATGCATTACTTTCATAATTAGTTTCTCAAGTATATGTTTCTTCAAACTCCTAAATCTTAGTAAACCTTAGTTATTTAATTTTCCTTTAAACCCGAAAAAAATCTGAGACAAATTTAACGCATATTTAAATATACTTTTCACAGGTTATTTAGGAATCAAAAAATCAGTGGTAATCCAAGTACGCAAATAAAATATGTGACTTACAGAGGAGTTCCGCAACCCTAGTCCAGGGTTTCTGGGGAGGGGGGAAGCTAAATTTTTGGGGGCTCAATTTGGTGACACAAAAAATCTTTCAAGTCCTCTAAATTTTGAGGGTGGGCCAAATATTTCTTAGCTATTTTATAATAATCTCAATTTATCATTTGGCTTGATTTTTAGAATTTCCTGTTTTAAAGGTTTATAAATCTAAATATTCTATCATTATACTTCAATAACTAGATTATAAACAACACTGTACAGCGTACAATACATTATAAACAATTGAATCATTCAAATTGTTTATAACATAAATACATTTTGAACTGTTACAAAAAATTAAACAGACAGAGCACAAGAATAAGGAGTGCTATTTGTTAATCAGAAGTCAGAATTAACTTGTTACAAGAAAAAATGCCAAGTTGTGAAATGTAATAAATATAATTAATTTTTTGATAGAAATCATACATCTTTCTGGCAGGGTTCAATATAAGCCGCATCAAATTGCATTTTGCAAGTCAAAACGACCCTTTTTGTCATCTAATATTTCCTAATAAATTATTTATTAATTTATATTTATCACGACGATCTACGAATTAAATATAATAATATAATTTTGAACAATCTTCTACGGTCTCTATAACCTTCTAAACTGTCATCATTGGAAAGATCGATCTGAGTTCTGAGGTCTATGGGCCGTATGCAGCGCTCTTACCTTGCCTAAAGTTGAACTTTGGCTAAAGTCGAACTTTACAAAGTTAGGATTAAGGCTTTCATTTTCTACATTTGATAGTCAAATTCAAGCACGGCTTTCGTAAAGATCGACCGGTGCATACCTAAAGTTTGACTTAAGTCTAACTTTAGTCAAAGTTTCGGTAAAGTAGAGTGCTGCATATGGCCATATTACTGTTATATTTTAAATTGCCTCTGAATTTTCATGAAACAAGAATAAAAATTTAACTTGATAAGCCGAAACTAAAATTTGGTGTGATAAATTGCAAAACAAATTTTTTTTCGAAATTGAACCTTGCATGCTTAATGGTTGAATTTTTTTATTGCCAATCGTGCTTCATTTTCACAAGTTTTTCATTAACAGGATTTCAGTAATCACAATTTAGGGCAAAACGTAAAAATTGGCATATCTCATCATGAGAATTAAAGCAAATGACCACTTCTGTAAATGACCTTTAAAAGAGTAATTATCTGGACACAATTTATGTAATTAAACAATTGCTGTGTCTAGTGCAATTCTTTATATACAATTTTTATGATGCCTTGGACATCAGTGCTGGATAACTTTGAGAGCGATTATTGACGGCAGGATATTCATCAATAATTATTTAATAATCTAAATGATTTTAATGAGAAATCTTCCAAATACTAAAGAAAATCATGTCCAAATTTTCAATTCTATAAGTTATTTTTGTGTCAGAGAAAGTATATTCTTGCTTTGATTGGTTAATATAGTTTATTGTGGGTATGTTATGTACTGAAGGGAAACTATGTTGAAGAGATTACTAACTGACAATTAATTAATAATGAAAGTTTATGGTTGATAATCCACATTATAAATTCCTAGCGACAATAATCAATTATTTCAAATATTATGCCCTGCCCTAAACATCAGTGCACACACCAGAATATAGAATCGAAAGTTTTAATCAAGGAAAGCAAAAAATTTCTTAAAGGAACACTACGTCTTAGAATGAACATGAAATTTAAGAATTTTAAACTTGGCCAATAAGAGTATATATTAATCAGTAGATATACTTGGTGTCATAAATAACATAACAGGATCCTTATGTAATCCGATAAATCCAAAAAATTTAGTAATTATCCATAAAAATACAATTAACTATTGAAATTCTCTTAATATCAAGATTAAGCGTTTTTCAATAATTACTTAGTTTTATGAATTTTCCAGATTTTACAGGGATTCTGTTGTAACTTTATGACACCAGGTAAGTTCACTGATGAATATATACTCATATTAACCATTCTTGAGAACTTACATAATTCATTCTAAGACGTAGTATCACTTTAAGTTTCTGAGATAAGAGATATACCTTAAGCTTAACGTTCATTAACATTCCATAGACAACAGAAGATGTAATTTCTATAAGAATTTAAAGTTTGGCCTACTTTCATGAAATAACTTTACCTGCTGGAATTATCTGCCTGGCAGAACACATCCTGTACTTCAAAATCTATTTATAGAAACTTCAACTGACAGAACTTTAGACTTCATACACACCTATAGCAATTTAATGCTTAACCTTTTCAAAACTACGTCAAAATTGGTCAAATTTGAAATAATTTGAAGCTCACCTTAAATTAGAAACTAGCTATCCCAACAAAAATATAGTCCAACAAAAAAGGAGAGCATCCTTCAGTTTAAAAGGGAGATGATGAATGAACTGAAATGTCTAGTTAACTGAAGCTATACAGTACAGTACAGTACATGGTAATATAGGTCATAGTGAGCTGTGAAAACTAGGGCTGGTGTATAAGACAGCACATATAGCAGGAAAGATGGAGGCTAGTTTTTGTTTACATTTCCATCAGTTTTTTAATTAGATGTCTAGAGTCCATTCATTAGTGTTTAATTTGTTTATTAAAGTACATAGTTACTCATGACAGTATAATCAAAACATTATGTATCTTGTAATATGGTGGAGGTGATATACCAATGTGTTAATCAACAGGTAGAATTAGGCCAATGTCACCGTATGTTAGCCTTCAGAGAGATAAACACCTGGTAACTTTTATTTACAAAGTTTTTAGTAATTTGCTTTAAACCACTTTTATTGCTTGCATGTAAATTTGATACGAAGTGAATTTAAAAGTGGAGAAAATGGTGACATGTTTTGAAGGTTTGACAAAATATTTGAGCTGTATAAAAGCTACACAACCAAGGGTGGCAATCCCGGGGGACGGGGCAGGGATGGGCAGACATGTCTCCCCCTAGTTCCTGACTGGGAGTGACATCATATATGTTGTCTCCCCCACCCCCCTGAAAAATAGCCATTAAAGAAAAATCAATTCATTCATACAATTGACCTGGATGTCATATTCCCTTCATTCATTCAATTGACCACTATAGTTCGTAAATATATATAATAGATAATCTTGATATACATCGATAAGGAAATTAGCCGACAATAATCTCTGGTATTATCTGGGTATCTATATATTGCACATTGGAGGTAGCTTCAAGAGAGGTCAAGAGATAATAGAAGGCCTATATCATGTTGCCCAAATAGTTTGAATGATTATTGCATTATTCAGAGTCAGGGAAGAATAACTAAATAACTAATAGTTTATTTCCTTTAAATTGTCGTTTCAATCTTCAAAAAACAGTTCCCTTGTCCTACAAACTGACCCAAAACCCTTACCTTTCTCTTTGGTAAGACAGGAGGAGGGGAACGTAGATTTGAAGTATTTTCTTTCTGAGTAATTCCTTCAATAACTAGATTTGTATGAGGTAATACTTGGAAGAAACACATTAAATATGTCATCAGTGATTTTTTATCTGGATTCTGTAAATCTAAAACATAACACATCATATATTTAAATAATGGTGTCCATTTGCAGATACATGTATCAACACATCTCTTGTGCATTATCAAACATGTAAATGTGGTTTTCACATTATACAATACTCTCTGTGATGGAGGTGGTGATTTCTGCATACATATAGATGCATAAATAACAGATTCTGAATTTATATTGAACAGTGGCGTTTCAAAAGAGCAGTGCCCTAACTCCCAACCCCCAAAAAAGGCATTGGCCAAGGTGCCAACTTTCAAATTTCATTACATATAGGGTCAACACATCAATATTTACTTGCACATGAAACAAGTAAGCCTAGGTTTACAATTCTCTTAATGATGGAGGTGGTGATTTCTGCATATACATGTATGTAGATCGAAATAACACATTCTGAATTTATATTAAACATTGGCGTTTCAAAAGTGCAATGCTCCAACTCCCAACCCCCAAAAAAGACATTGGACTCGCCAAGGTGCAAACTTTCAAATTTTATTACATATAGCGTAAGATTGAGCCTCCCCTTTATCAATTCTGTGGCTCCTACTTGGCATCCTTAACCAATGATTCATATGAAATGCTACTGAATATTTGATGCTTTTGCTATGGGGAAGTAAATGTGGTTTAATTCTGCTTATCACTTGATAAAATAGTGTTCATTAGATCCACATTCATTCCTTGTATGTCCAGTTTTTGCACATGACTATGTAAGTGTTTTGATTGTATGTCCTCGAATCTTGATTCTATTAGGCATTAAGAGTGACAAACTATTTTCCACAATAAATGCATTGGAAACTATTATATTTGTTCAATTAAATATGTATCCAAATTCCTACCTTCAGGATCTAGCAGTCTGTAAATATTTAGATGTTTTTCAGCAATGGAAAAGGCATGATCTAATTTTTCCTGACTGGTTTTATTGCGTAGAGATTTATAGTTAAACAGCTCTGGTCTGTAATAAACAATATATACATTAAAACTAGTGTATATATATCTACATGTACCAAACTTGAATTGTTATTAGGAGTGGTTCTTGATGATCATCAAAAACATTTTAATATCAATTTATGTTGACCTCCATTTCCAAACCCGTCTGATGCAGATTTTTTTAAGCAGAAACATGTGTTGGCAGCATCAAATGAGCTCTTGACATAGTATAATGTACTATGATATAAGCAGTTTACTTCAATAAGATCTATAATTCCCACTTGACATCATTTGATCCTCAAGTAACCCCAAAAGGGCCAAAAAGAAGACAAATTCAAAGGAATTGAATGAACCACTTTTATTAGCATAAGTAGTAGTTGTAGTAACTCAGTTGGTAGTAAGTTAAATGAAAGGAGTTTTCCTTCCTACTTTTCTGCACCATGTGGGCTAATGGAGATGGGGGTAGTACGTTAGATTGTAATTTTGTAGGCAACTCTTATGCCATGGGCATTGCCTCCAAATGTTTTCTATTAAGGCATAGGTCGAGATAATGCCTTCGGATTTTTCAACCTGGTTTCCCTCTGTCAGTGATGCAGGCATGGAAAAAGCATCTAGTCGTTCAGATGGAAAAATAAACCGAGGCCCCGTGTACTGCAGGGTGTGCACGTTAAAGATCCCTCGACAGTTGGAAATAAAAAAAGAGCAGGCTATGTTGCTGTCCTGGCCAAATTTCCCTCATTGCACCCTGCATGGCATTGCCCGTCTTCATAAGCCCACATGGTGCAGAAAAGTAGGACGTAAAACTCCATTCATTTCATTTCATTTTATTTTCCAAAGGTTTTCTTGGCTTTGAATTTCCCTATAGTGATTTAAGTAAATTCAAAGGGTTTTTGAAACAATATTAAGTAGAATATCTCTTTATTAGTTTAGTTTGGTCTTGTATGATTTCTACTACAAGACGTCAGATATAGAGTCTACAAGTTTTGTAATGATAGAAGATAGTTTTACCTGTAATGATGTATTAAAGCATTAAATGCATTTCCATCTTGCCAACTTCTAGTAAAATTATCTATGCTTACATTTTCATAACTGAAATAAAACTAATCTATTAGGTTTACATCTGAGTAGATTCATGATACAAGGTACAAACGGAATACATAGATTACATCTCACATGGTTATTGCACTCAAAATTCTTCTTTTGTGCTCATTATTATTTACAAAGTATCTATGTTTGAGTTTCATGGCATTCTAATTATTAACATGCATCGTTGAGCTTAAAGTTGTATTTTTCAAAGAAAAGAAAACCTACCCTTGGGTAGACTGTTGACACCATGCTAATAAGGTTCTCTCTAAATTGGTCTGTTTTAAATCTTGTAAAACATTCCTCATTATATCCTTGACCTAGTCAAATAACAAAACTTTTGAAACCTTTACACACTCTGGGCCGTATGCAGCGCTCTTACCTTGCCTAAAGTTGAACTTTGGCTAAAGTCGAATTTTACTAAGTTAGGATTAAGGCTTTCATTTTCTACATTTGATAGTCAAATTTAAGCACGACTTTCGTAAAGATCGACCGGTGCATACCTAAAGTTTGACTTAAGTCAGAAACAGAAAGACATGAGCACACTTCAAGGTTCCATCTGGATGGCAGAACAGTTGCAAGTCTTACATACAATTAGCTTGAATCATAGTAGCATACATGCGAGTCGAAGTGTCACGAGTTGAAGTGTCACGAGTTGAAGTGTCACGTTGATAATCTACAAATTTCTAAAAATATATGTCCAAGTACTGGCTCATCCAAAATATTCTTAATCAAATCCTAGCATATTTCAAGGAACAACATAGCTTAAATTTTTACTATTGTACTCTTGCATTGGGCATTTTTTATATCCATATACTTTATACCAATTATTATTTGTCCATGATAGAGGGAAAACAGTGGCAGTGTTTAATATTTGATTATAAATTAACACCTACCTGCCAATGTAATATAATTAGCCAAACTAAGGCTAATGTCAGCTTGGGATTTCCATCGACAATATCATTACTACATATATTGATAAATTTTATCTAAAATCAAAATGGTATCATTGATATTTCTATGAATCGGTAAGAAGCTGGCTGAGTATGGGTATCAGAATTGCAAAGGGGGGCTCAATTCAGGCCCTTAGGTACAGGAGGCAATGCACCCCCCACCCCCCAAGAGGTCATTGCCCTCTAAAAAAAATTCAACAACTGATCCAAATCATCACTGAAACTAAAACACCAAACACCATTGTCTTCCCTTTGCTTACAGCATCTTCCATAAGAAAACCACAGATCAACTTCAGTATATAATTCAAAACCAAATGTTCTGACTAAATCCTAATCTTCAAAGAAATTTAACATACTTACATTGTAGTTATGCTCTAAAATATACAATACTCTACTAATATTATTAATATGATGTACACGCAGTCTTCCCTTTTCTTTACCCTAGAAAATATCATTCAGATTTGATAAATAAATCTCAAAACTCTAGTCATCGACAAAATAATAATTCTAATAATAATAATAATGATGATCAATACTTACTAAAGAAAGACCACTTAGTACTTCTTATAATAATGATGATCAATAAAATACTTACTAAAGAAAGACCACTCAACACTTCTAATAATAATAATGATGATGATCCATAGAATACTTACTAAAGAAAGACCACTCAATACTTCTAATAATAATAATGATGATGATCCATAGAATACTTACTAAAGAAAGACCACTCAATACTTCTAATAATAATAATAATGATGATCAATAGAATACTTACTAAAGAAAGACCACTCAATACTTTTAATAATAATAATGATGATGATCAATAGAATACTTACTAAAGAAAGACCACTCAAAACTTCTAACAATAAAAATAATGATGATCAATAAAATACTTACTAAAGAAAGATCACTAAGTACTTCTAACAATAATAATAATGATGATCAATAAAATACTTACTAAAAAAGACCACTAAGTACTTCTAATAATAATAATGATGATGATTAATAGAATACTTACTAAAGAAAGACCACTAAGTACTTCTAATAATAATAATGATGATGAATAACATACTTACTAAAGAAAGACCTTTAAGTACTTCTAACAATAATAATAATTATGATCAATAAAATACTTACCAAAGAAAGACCACTAAGTACTTCTAACAATAATAATAATGATGATCAATAAAATACTTACCAAAGAAAGACCACTCAATACTTCTAACAATAATAATAATGATGATCAATAAAATACTTACCAAAGAAAGACCACTCAATACTTCTAACAATAATAATAATGATGATCAATAAAATACTTACCAAAGAAAGACCACTCAATACTTCTAACAATAATAATAATGATGATCCATCACGTAAGTCTTCAAATAAATCATTTATCAATGGATGATTAGCCTGAAAATATCCCTTAAAGGTTACATATACACCACTATAGTTTGACCAATTTTGTGCTTATTGTTGATAATATGTTTTGTTTTGATAAACATAACATCAGTCCTATAGCCCGATAATAATATGATTGTTTGGACGGGGGCAAGTAATATATCTTGAGGGGCAATGATGTGTTGTGTTTAGTTGCCATGATAATATTGGTAGGCTTACAGAATATTTTTCAAGGAGAGGCAATCCATTTTTTCCTACCCCCTGTGCCTTCTCATAAGTAACTTAAGTAAGCTAAAATCCAGATTTTAAGAAATACAATAATCTGATATAATAAAACATAACTTATAATTGATTTTTATAGATGACTGGAACACTAAAATCATCTTAAGTTAAGTTTTCGAGAAAAAGGCCCCTGATAAGAATTTCAATGCTTTGCTCAGGTTTTCCACAGATTGTTGTTCAGAATCAAGTTCATAAAAACTCCATAAATATCATTTCTTTTGTTCCTTTCACCATCTTGGGCCACAAAATGTGACTGGCTCTTCTTTGTGGAAATGGAATGACAAAGATCTGTTGAAAATGTGAGCCAAGGGTTAAATGTTGCATAGGTTAATACGCCCTTCAATCAAAATGATTTCATGGTTATTTAATTCTGGTTACACATATTAAATCATTATAAACCAATATAAAAATAACATCACTGATATTTCATGGCATACAAATTTTACTTTCATTTTGGCATGATGGCAAGCCATAACATTTGAGGAAACAAATTTTTAGAATGTGATTAAAATTATGTAACCTTAGACAATTGTGAATTTATCCATTTAGTAAATGTCTTCTTTTGTACATCTTCTCTTTCATCTACAATTCATTCATAAATATGTATATATATATGTCATATATCATATAACAAGTTTTGAACCTGTATGTATATGAAAAACCCGACATCTAATCTAATTGAAGATGTCATAATGAATTTTTCTAACAGTTACAAAGAAAGTTCATTAAGCCAGGTTTATTATCAGCCAACTTCAGCAAGCAGCAAATTGATGAAACAAAAATTTCACAGAGATTCAAGTACATCAGTTGAATACTAAAGGACCTTTGTGTGGAGGTCACAAAGGTGAACTTCAGGTTTCATTTTAGGAAAATATTGCCACTATCAACTGACCTTCATTTTTTATCTCATATACCTAATTAGCAAGTTTTATGAAAACCGGTTGAAAACTTAAGGAGAACAGTTATACATTTTCAATATTAAAGATCATATGAGTTAAGAGGGATGTAAAAATTTGACATTGTCTCATTGACATTAAGCTCAACTCTTTTTTTCATCATGTTTACATACTCAGTTGAATGACATGCCCCAAATTTACTAGAAAGGGGAAATTCACTTTACAATTCTTTTATTTGGGGTGATTCGGACAAACCCTCAAAACCCTCCTACATGTTTGCTATAAATCCCTTAATTTCCTAACTTACCTTTACTTTTATGGTATTTTATTGAAGTAGAGTCCATCTTTGTACAATATTAATGCTTATCTAACTCTATATTACACATTGTTTCATCTCACTGAAGTACAGAAAACCATTGATAGCTTACCAAACCAAAAATGAAATTTGCACAAACACTCTATAGTGCACCACCTATCTCTAGTGTTTATATTTCAGATCAAGTGCGTGCATGGGCACAGATTGCAAAGTGGACACAATGTGGAGGCATGTAAATGGCGTTTCTGTTTCAATTTTCAAGAGATCTGTGCCCTGTCTGCCCCAAAAATGGAGGTCTCTAGTCTCTACGAGGCGAGGCTCAAAGGCCAGAATATCCTTGAAGTAGGGGGACTTGGGTCAACGGATTTCAAATGGCCTGAAATGAATTTTGTGCATTTAGAGGGCTTAATTTTCACTTCACCATCTTAAGACCTTTGACAGATCTAAGGAGGAGGCTGCATGCATGGCCCTTCCCCTGAATTATCCCCTTATTCTAAAAGCGGGATGTCAAAATCAATATAAATTATGAAGCTAAGTTGGTCTACATTCGAAGAATAATGAAATGTTATGTCATGCATGAACATATCTAAAATATTCAAACTATGTAGATCTTAGAATGTCTGGGCATTCCATTGAAAATCCCAAGAAAATAAACAAACATACATTTTGCTCTCCAAGGCTCTTTTCAAATTTTTCATTTATGGCCTAGGCCTACTGATATTTTCTTAGCACCAAAATATTATTATCCTTTTCCCCCAAAGCTTGGAGATGATAACTCACAGCTCAATTCATAGAAATAACAATTGTTCTGGCCTATTCAAAAAAGGACAGTGGTCAGAATTTAGCCCACAAAATATAGCTGGACACCGATATAACAGTAAAACAAACAAGAAACAGCCTGACCTCAAATTTACATGAACTTTACAAATTGGCTATTTCCTGTACACTACTGACTTGCTATATTCCATCATATAGAAGGGTACACATGTGTCCAATTACACCTGTCACCAAATCAATCTATTACTGCGCTTACAACAATTTTGTTCATGCAAATATTTGGAACCGTGACCTACAGATCACAGAGAAGTAATAATCAGTTATGTTTTTGAGTGAAAACAATGAAATTATGCATGTTAAACCGTTTTATTTCGTGTCATTGACATACCTGAATATTATGTTTTCCACCAACAACAATGTGACAAGGGGTGTTCTCACAATAACTTGACCCTTTCATAATAATAAATTGAACACACCGAGTGCGTCGGCATACCTCTTTAGCCTTCTTTAGTTCTTATACTCTTGTGAGGGGTTTAAGAGTCAACGTTTGGCTCACAAAGCACTTGCCATGACACCAGAAAAGTGATTTCTACCCTCGAACCTGCTTTCGGCCAAAATAGGACTTACTCGCGTAGGTTAGAGTAGCCTAAGCCTAGACCTATAGTCTAGAGTAGCAGACGACAAATCAAACTCAAAACAATTGACAGTCAATTTCAAATCCCTTGGTCCTGCCCCTGGCACCGATGATTCTGCCTTGTCTTCCGTCTTGAAGTTAATGTTCTTGGAGACTTGATGTAAGCTTAGGACCACCAAAAGCAAGAGCCGTGACATCATATTTAGTGTCAAGGCAAATTAGGCTAGGCTAAGGTCCAATCTCCCAATCTCCAAAATCAAAAATGACCATACACCATTAGGGCTAACTTACTTTTCAGAATTAAAATCTGACGTCCGGTTGCCCTACAATTCAAGAAAAACTTAACACCAGTTCACCAGGCCGTTTTAACAATATCACCTGCAGATATTACCGATCAATGTTAGTCCAATGGCGTAATCGGTCATATTGCCCAGTATAATAATGCCCGAGGGCGTTTCGCTGAAGGGCCTTTAGTGATATACCTAACGTTATTGTTTGCAATGGCCCAATCTGAATTTGTTTTAAAGGAATACTGCCTTTTAAAATGAACATAAAATTCACAGTCTCAAACTTGGCCATGAAGAGTTTTAATTCATCAGTGGAATTGAAAAAAGCTTCAAATATCAATTGCTTTCAATAATTAAAGCCGTAGCCTATATCAATTTCGGATTTTATTCCTTTAAAATGAGTAGGCCTACTTAAAAACGGAATGTAGGTCTAACCTACTATCATTGTAAGTAAGAACCTTAATTAAACTAGTTTTGGTGTTGAAACTTGGGCCTTATAACGGCTCGATATTTTTTTGTTGAAATTTTCAGAATAAGTACGAGAGCAGATCTATAATACTCTGCAATGTTGTTGAGTGGTAGTTCTTTTGCTTAAAACGGTAAATTCGTTTTCAAACACCAATCCAAAAACTTTAGGTCAACTTTCACATAGATTTTCGTTTGAGCACCTATAAACTTTTAATTTTAGAAAAATTGGACTGTCCCTTTTAGTGCAATTTGAGATGGGGCATCTTAAGGCCTATCGGCCGATGCTGAGTTGTTACGTTAAAATCATTCCAAAACTTGTTAAAACTTGGACCTTACTCAAAAATAGACAAATTTCACGGTTATAGAATGGACTGATTTGAATTATATTTGATTTGATAACAACAATTGTCACTTAATTTAGAATCCGCCGGTGAGAGTTCTAATAATTAAGATTCAATTATATATATATATATAGGCGCAAACATCCCATGCGACGCGTTTCAGAGAGGGTTCCCACATATTTTGGTGCAAAAACTTATAGAAATAATTTTTTAGAAATGAAATGGTGGGAACCATTTTTCTTATACCATCACTTGTGTCGCCACTGTAAGCTATGGAAAAGAATCGAATTTCACAGAAACCTTAAGGCCCCGATTTTCATTTTGATTCCGGTAAATTTTCACCTTTTTTCACCTTTTTTCTTCTTTTAAATAGTAATACAGCATTGGTTTATAATAAGGCAAGTTTGATCAAAACGGGTACAGAACTATATAGACTCCACAGCGTATTAACCTTCCAGGCTAACTAATACATCACAGTGAAAGAATAATACCCGATGACATTATCCTAGTGTACAACCGTCTGATTTTGTTTTATACATCCTGTCAAATGGGATGTTATCTTAAAAATGAAGTCAATTTAACGACTGTTTTGGGGGTTTTTTTTACTGCGGATATGTGATCACAAGGTTCCAATTTACCGATTTTCAGCACTTTCTACGAATGGTTATGCTTTCATTGACGTTGCCTTAAATGAATTGCAAAGAGGTTTTCTAAACCTTGAATGTGTATTGAGAACACTGTAACAATCGATTTGCACCATTCAAATTTTCAATCAGACATCTGTGAACAATTTAAGCGTTTTATGACGTCACTATCGCAAACGCTGTTATTGGCATATTGAAAAGGACCTTTGCATTAGTGACGCATTAAACGCTTTGTTTTAGTGGATTTGCAGGAATCACAGACGCCTGACTGAAAATTGAAATGATGCAAATCGATGCTAACAATGTTCCCAATACACATACAAATTTAAGAAAACCTCTTTACAATCCCTTTAAGAGACACATGCAGGGTCAAGTGGATACTGGGTGTCTATATAAACATTCATAGGGCATTTTGAATCTTAATGGTGTTTTATTTCATTTCCATGTTATCTTTAAAAGTTTTTAGAAATGATTATGGATATGATGATTTTTCAATATTTCTAGATTTACATATAGCCATACGTAGGCAATGACCAGCGCAATGAATTTCTAAACTACGATAAAACCAATATGAGTAGGCTAGGCTTATAAATATGGAAATAAATAAACGCTGTTATTGACATATTGAAAAGGACCTTTGCATTAGTGACGCATTAAACGCTTTGTTTTAGTGGATTTGCAGGAATCACAGACGCCTGACTGAAAATTGAAATGATGCAAATCGATGCTAACAATGTTCCCAATACACATACAAATTTAAGAAAACCTCTTTACAATCCCTTTAAGAGACACATGCAGGGTCAAGTGGATACTGGGTGTCTATATAAACATCCATAGGGCATTTTGAATCTTAATGGTGTTTTATTTCATTTCCATGTTATCTTTAAAAGTTTTTAGAAATGATTATGGATATGATGATTTTTCAATATTTCTAGATTTACATATAGCCATACGTAGGCAATGACCAACGCAATGAATTTTTAAACTACGATAAAACCAATATGAGTAGGCTAGGCTTATAAATATGGAAATAGGCTATTCACTGTGGTCGATATTTCTTGAAAAATAAATCAATTTTCATAAACTAATAAAACACCCCCGCGTCACCTTAGGCTAACGCATGTAGGCTACTCGTATCGGTAAATCATCAAACCACCTAATAAAGGATGAAAGGTGTTCAGTCAACTCGTCACGGGGAAATATAGAACAGTTTTAATTATTATTTTGTGCTACCATTCAAAAGGAAGTGAACATCATAGAGTTGTACCTTAAAACATTTATCTGCTGCATATTTCTTCAGACAGTTTTTGGCACATATGGTCCACCGTACATGATATATTTGGTTTTTCGGTTGTGAAAAGTCGCACACGTAAACTTGTTTCCTTTTCCTGTGCAGAAACAACATGGCTGTCGAAAGTGGACTGCCAACTGTTCAGAGATATGTCAATGGCATTCCGTTGCCACTGGGGAAGAAAATGTTGCGTGTACGAGAAAAATACATAATATTTTTAGTATTAATAACTTTTGGAAGTGTCTGTTTTGGTGCTTTTTTCTTCTTACCAGACTTACGTGACAGAGTGTCCATGGACGGAATGAAAAGACATTTACGGGATGCAGGGAATGTTATTTTTTTTCCTCATATGGGGCAAAAACAAGACAGTGGGAAAATATTAAGACACGATTTTAATGTTGACCCTCACAAAATTGAAGATAAAGTTAGACTTCTTGGGAGAATAGAAGCAGCTCGTGAAAAAGATAAAACAGCGAATAAAACTAAAAGTGATAATAAAGACCAAAATTTGGACTTAAAGTTTAGGCCAAATTCAGTAAATACTGTAAACAAGTTTGAGCAAGTTGCAAATAAAAATTTGGGGAAAAAAGATGAACCTAATAAGGTGGAATTGATCGAAGATGTAGTCTCAGTAAATTTACAAAGAAGGGATACAGTAAAAAAGGTAAATTATGTGACTAGCCTGCATGACACTGACTAAACATCAGAATTCAGAATAGTTTGAGGAGCTGCAGTGGCACAGTAATTGCTAACCTGAAGGTCCAGGGCATAGGTCGATAGTGCGGCTTTGGATTTTTCAATAAAGTTTCCCCCTGTCAGTGATGCAGGTTGGAGGGGCTAACATGGAAATCGCAGCTAGTCGTTCGAATGGGACAATAAACTGAGGCCTTGTCTGCTACAGGCTGTGCACGTTAAAGATCCTTTGACCGTTGGAAATTAAAAAAGCGCAGCCTAATGGGGTTGTCCTGGCAAAATGTCCCTCATTGCACTTTGCATGGCGTTGCCTGTCTTAATTAGCCCACATGGTGCAAAAAAGTAGGATGTAAAACTCCATTAATTTCATTTTCAGAATAGTTTTAGATATATCCTTAAAATTCAGATTTATATGTATAGGCCTTATTTACACATGGACAAGCCTCTCAAATTTGATATGAAATATGATACGGTATTCAGATATCTCACATAGATGACTTGCCACTTTTGTACAGCATGACAATTGTTTTACTCAAGCTAGCCTGATAGGGACACTATTTACGGTACATGAAATGAATTGATGATATTGAGTTATTCACCTATTTCTCAATAAAAGGGTGCAATTTGTTTCTCTGCCATATAATCCCTGTTCTCAATTTTTGTAAAGTGTTAAAACGTAGACGTTTTTTATCTTCAAAAGTGAAACTAGAATTATTGAAATGCGATACGTAGCAACCCAATGATGTTCATGTAGAACAGTAGGCCTAAGCTTATATCATTGATTTTATCGTCTGTGTAGCATACAAATGAAAAAATTCAAAAAACTTTTTAATTCGTTTATATACAACAATAAGTAACATATTGATTTATGTAAATTAATAATTGTGATGAAATAGATCAAGTTTCATCTGACATGTTCGTAACCAAATCATGTCTTGTGACCCATGCCAGTGCCTCTATGAGAAGAGTATTGGTACCTTCTATAATATCCAATACCTAATACCAATTATTTTCCCCACAGAATTGTTCTGGTCCTATTTGATTGGTTGTTTTCTAAGGGCAAAAATGGGTCATATCATAAATAAATACATATCTACAAGGCCATTTCATGATAAAAAAAAAATGCAATTTAGTACCTATATTTGATTCTGTGTCCAAACTGGTTTTAATCTATTTGATAAGAAAGATAAGCACACACAATAATCTCATAGGAAATTTTCATAAAGTTAATCGATGAAACCTGTTTAACATGGCATCATTGACGTCATTATTTTACCACATACAGCCGTTAGATAATTTCGTTACTAAAATCAATATTGTATATTCATATGGTCATCATTAAAAAGCTACTGTTGGGCTGTTGGCAATTTTTTGCTCCTGATATAGTTGTTTAGTCTTTGAAATTAAAAAGTCGAAATTATATGAAAATTTGCTGGTTTTCTCAATATTCTAGCTTTCCTGAGTCAGACAATAGATGAAAAACATTGCCATTAAAAACTATTTTTTGAACACTTTTTATTGCCCAACAAACAACAATCTAACTGTCTTCTAGTATTGTTATGATCATTTAAATTGATATGATTTTGGTTTTGTTGTTAAAGTTTTTCTGGACTTGGCATAAACAATTCTTTCCATGCCAGTTAGTTTTGTATCTTTTGAAATGTGATAACGTTACTGTTGGAGGATGCTACATAAATGTTGCTTTAAAAGTTTGTATTTGATTAAATGTAGTCTTTATTTTTTGTAACTTAGATGATGAAGCATGCATGGTCTAATTATGAAAAGTATGCTTGGGGTTCAAATGAATTGCGACCTGTATCGAGACGTGGTCACAGTGCTAGTATATTTGGTACATTACCACTAGGAGCAACCATTGTAGATGCCATTGATACTCTATATATTATGGATTTTAAAGAGGAATTTGCAAAAGCTAGAGATTGGATTGCAGACAACTTAGTATTTGAAGGGGTAATTTTTCAGATTTTTTCATTAAAAAATAAAAATTGGCTGCAGCAATTCAATATCACTAATACCAAGCCATAATGATATCATAAGGTGTTTAAGTTTTCAAACATTGGAATTGTTGATTGTTGTTTAATAAAACAAGATGGAACAGAGTTCAGATGCATTCAATGTGTGAGAAAAAAAAATAGTAGGTGCAGACAGAATACAAAATGGCGGAAAAGGAAATAGATGAGAAAATTTTGAATGTGACATATTCCGCTTCCACACCATTGAGTGTAGAATTGAAACAGATGGAACCTGATTCAGAACCCTCTTATCGAGAGCCACCCCAGATAAACATGTAATGGCTTGAAAACCTCTTTTTTACATTTTCAATTTGATCTTTTACTATTATTCATGCTATTGATTTTGATTTTATATTTTTAGTCGACAGAGTTATCTGTATTTGAAACAAATATTAGATTCATAGGGGGATTATTATCAGCTTATGCTCTATCAGGAGATGAGGTGAGTAGAATGTATATAATGTGTATGTGTAGGATACATAATTTCCCTCATTGGCCATTGCATGGCATTAATCATCTTTCTTTTAACTTAAACGCATTTCATTCCATTTTTTAATTGATAATATTCTGTCTTCTGTGATGGACATCTATGAAAAAAGGGTGTATAATTGTACTGTAGAAGTTACGTATTGTTATGTAGAAGTTCAAGTAACTATGTATGATGAGAACAAGTATTACTTGTCAAGTAGATACACAGGTTGAAATAGGTCTGTTGTCTGAAGATTGCTTAGCTTGATACTCTGAGTTACAACAGCATGTTTCAGGTTCTGTTTTAATATATTTTATATCGCTCAACAATTGATGTATTATATAATTTTCAGATGTTCAAAAAGAAAGCTAAGATTATCGCTGATAAGTTAATGCCAGCTTTTAAAACTCCAAGTGGTATACCACAAAGTATGGTCAATATTAAAACGTAAGTTTTTATTTGACTTAGTTCAGACTTCATATTTACACAGTTTTATAGGACAACAATCACTGGTTAAAAGACCATTTAAAGACTTTGTTCAGACTTGTTGTTTGATAAAGATTCATGATTTATCAAGGCTTTAAGGAGATATGTTCTTGTGTCTTAGCACTGTTTTTTTTTTCAAAAGTAAAGCCTCATGGACCTGACCTGTGAAAAAAAGTATAATTTCTGTTGTGTTAGATTTTTATACGCCCACATCTCCGTCCGTCCGTCTGTCTGTCAACATTGTATACAAAAGTATTGAAACCATAAAATGTAGTATTTGTTTTTTTATAGATTTACATTAACAAGTGTTTTATAACCATGGTAATTTGTTTATTTTAGTGGTAACAGTAGAAATTGGGGCTGGGCCTCTGGTGGTTGTTCTATTTTATCAGAATTTGGGTCATTACATTTAGAATTCACATATTTATCAGATGTAGTTAATGATAAACTATATGCTGATAAGGTTAGTATAGCAGAGCTGGTGATTTATTTTTTACTTACCTCCAATTCTTACAACCTGCAGGCTGTCCAGTGGCCCTAAAATTCCTAAAAAAGAGATTGCTTTGTATTACTTATATTTCTGTCAGATTCAAATTTGATTGACTATGATGGATATTAAAAAAAAAAAATATGACATGGAAAAAATTCAGAGTACATTTTTCTGTTAAAAACATCATATGTTTGATTGAGTAGAAAGTAAATTTCCATTTTAACATACTAACCTAAACAATAGTGAACACTGCTTTAACTCTTTGCCAGTACTTTCTGTTTAATAGTAGCTTGTTGCCAACTTACATATTTAAACAAAATTTGACATGATTTTTATCTTATTAAGGTAATGAAGATAAGAGATCATCTCAAGAATCTAGATAAACCTAATGGACTATACCCTAATTATCTCAACCCAAAGACTGGAAAATTTGGACAACGTAAGTAGAATTTTTATCAAGGTTTAAGGCTGTCACCCACGGTATGTAAAATAAGATAGTTGGTACATTTGGGACCACATAGGTTTAGTGTACAGATGTGTACAAGCTGATATATAATAATTGGATTTAGAGTTATTGCCCTTAACTGCTGCCTTTTTTTCTAGATCACGTTTCAGTTGGTGCATTAGGTGATAGTTTTTATGAATATTTGATAAAAACATACCTTATGTCTGGTAAAAAAGATACAGATGCAAAAACCATGTATTTTGATGCTATAAAGGTGAGTATCCAATAATTCCATCAAAGCTCAACAAGATATGATGGATAGAAACTGCAGTTTGGACTCAGACCACTGAAATTTCAACAGAAGTAAAAAGTTTCAGTGGAATTAGTCCTTAAGGCTGTTGGTTCTCAAGCATGGAGTTAAAGTTCTTTGAGAATTTTGTAATATTATCTGTGGAACTTCAAAGAGGTGATTGTGACATTTCCAATTATGTATGCTTTGCATGTGGTTTGCACAAAATATGAATAATATAAATATCTTTGAGAGTGTGCACATTGTTATTTGTGTATACGTATGAAATTTGCCATTTATAAATTTTGATGCTCAAGATATTTTTGCCGTAAAAGATGCACACTTCCTCAATCACACTTCCTCAATCACACTTCCTCATATTTGTTTCAAAGAATTTGTGTATGGTTCTTTTTTACAGGCTATAGAAAATAAAATGTTAGTTACATCTAAAGATGGATTAAAATACTTCGCTGAATATAAATCTGGAAGATTAGATCATAAAATGGACCATTTAGCTTGTTTTTCAGGTTTGCCATGTTTTGTTTATATATGTCATTATTGCCCTTATGGCCTTTCCTTGCCTTGGCATCAGTATTTCTAAAGTTGTGACAGAATTTTGATTTATTCATACTTTCAAAGCTCAATAACAGGTGAACTTGTCATACTTACAAAGTTTGAAATGAGCTCAATTTGTCATACTTTCAAAGTTTGAATTGAGTTCAATTTATCATACTTTCAAAGTTTGAATTGAGCTCGACTTGTCATACTTTCAAAGTTTGAAATGAGCTCAATTTGTCATACTTTCAAAGTTTGAAATGAGCTCAATTTGTCATACTTTCAAAGTTTGACATGAGCTCAATTTGTCATACTTTCAAAGTTTGAATTGAGCTTAATTTGTCATACTTTCAAAGTTTGAATTTAGCTTAATTTGTCATACTTTTGAACATTGAATAGGGCTGAACTTGTTTGAATATGATTTAGACTTAGTGACTCTATGAATTCTTTCACTTAATAGTTTCTTTTATCATTCTGCCTTTGCTATCTGATGTATGATGAGATATTTTTTAAATGCACTCATCTTTTGAATGTTACCTATTGTATTATCATGGCATCATGTGTTTTTTTTAACTAATGTCTTATTTGTTTGTTATATAGGTGGTATGCTGGCTTTAGGTGCAAATTATTCTACAGACCCTCCTAAATATATTAAACTAGGAGAAGAAATAGCTAAAACATGTCATGAATCTTATGATAGATCAGGTAATATATGATGGTTTTCTTTCAATTGAGATTGCTGAAACTAGGTGATTGGTGAGTTCTGTGTTTGGGATTCCGGATTCATGGTATCAACAGGACGCTCAATAGAACAAGTTGAAACAGGGTTCAGAACGAGTTCTACTTGTTCCGAAAAAATAGTAGGTGCAGACTGAATTCAAAATGGCGGAGAAAGGAATAGAAGGGAAAATTTTGAATATGACATAATCTGACCAGTACTGATTGATTGAGGCTAGAATTTGAACAAACGGAACCAGAAGTCACCAATCAAGCACCACCTAATATGTTTCAAATTTGATAGCCCTGTAGACATAGAGACATGGTTGGCTATAATCCAACAGTAGAAAATTAAAAATCAAAAGTTTATCAGACCGTGTTCTCAATAGAGACAACAGGTCAATGGGTGAATTATACACATATATATACAGATATAGTAACTATCTTAATCATAAATGCTGAATGAGTTGGAAGAGCTCAAGCTAAAATGATTTCATGACATAATACATTCTCTTATGACAAAAACTAAGTTATCTGAATAGTGAAACAGTTGAATTAAGCTCTATCAGCTTTAAAAGCTTAATTGTAAATTATAATCATTGTAGATGCTTGCCTTTTCAATATATTCTAAAGCTTGTTTTTTTTCTTCTATTTCAGCAACAAAATTAGGACCAGAAGCATTTAGATTTGATAGTTCCACTCAAGCAAAGGCAACACGACAGAATGAAAAATATTACATATTGAGACCTGAAGTTATCGAGACTTATTTCTATATGTGGCGCATCACTAAAAAACAAATGTACAGAGATTGGGCTTGGGAAGCTGTACAGGTAAGTACTATATTTCAGTGTTCAGTATTTATTTTACTTAATTTAGGAGAATTAGGGGGGGGGGGTCTTTATTTTCTTAAAATCCTTGCGCTGCCACAAAAAGTTGGAATAGAACCTGTAGTTCTTAATGGAATTTATATGAATATTATTTACCAATGAAATTTGAGGATTTCCAATTCACTGCGGTATACCCCTTCATGTATATATACAAGATGGCATCATATAAAAACTTTACATTTTTTTCTAAATATTTACCAACAAACTGATATCTAAACAAAATGGTGACATTATGGGGTCATGTAGTAACTGTTGGTGCTGAACTGGAAAGTCTCGAGTTGCCGTATCATTATGCTTTTGTGAATAGGACCCATTTACTTTTAGATAGCATAAATTTATTTTACTGTTTTGTAATTTCTGATAATTTCTTTGTAGGCATTAGAGAAATGGTGTAGAGTGGAGAGTGGATATACAGGTATAAGAGATGTGTATCAAATCAGTCCTCCTAAAGATGATGTACAACAAAGTTTTTTCTTAGCAGAAACTCTCAAATACTTATTTTTAATATTTTCAGACGACTCTGTTATGCCTTTAGATAAATGGGTCTTTAATACTGAAGCCCATCCATTACCAATTAAGTCATAAGTTTAAAATATAGTCAATTTTATATAAGGCTAAGTTGATTGAAAGGGGTAAATACACACAAATAGAGATTGATATTAGGCCATTAAAAGAGAGAGATATATATATACACAGGTTCATAAAATAGTCAAAGCACTGCATTTTATTGAGACTGATAGCAATGTCAATACCTTATTTTGATTGGTTCAAATTCACTGCTTGATAACAAGTTATTTGGACAAAATGACGAATGGCCCCTCTGTTTATTGATAAGAGAGTGTGGTTATCAGGTAGCAATGGATAAAATATCCACAAGTCTTATGATGGATGATGAAATAACTGAATAATGTTAGTCTGTAAAATGGGGAAATTCCACAAATTTCTGTGGCCATCTCTAGAAAAAAAGCAAAATTGCAATGTTATTGCATTAATAATATCACCATTCAGCATTTTTCAATTAGCCCCACAAATATTTATGGTGTCGATACCGAAATTAGACTTTTGTCATGGTGAAAATTCACAAAAACTAGCGATCCAAAAATGGATTGGAGCAACTGCCGCAAAATGTTACCTTTTGAGTTTGGTCCAAACCCTGATAATATAACATCTCTATTATCACTTGCAAAAAAGGCTAACTCATTTTGCTTCAAAACAATAAAAGTAAAATAGACTAACAAAAAAAATGAATTAATTTGTCCTTGATCAAGTCTGGATATAGTTGGTCAGTCATCTGCTTAACACCCCCTCATCTCTTAATGGAATTCTTCTACAGTTGCATCTATCAATCTGTTATATGTATGATTGGGATAAATCATTTCATCAAGGGAATACTACCTTTTAGGACATAAGATTTAAGGTCTCAATTTGGTCAACTATTCATCATGCAAAGATAAGCCAAAATTCATTATAAACCTCACACCGATTATTCATTATCCATCCACCATAATCAGTACATTGCATGTAATACTAAGTAAAAGATGCAGATATGAAGGCAAATTGATATTTCACGCCTATAGTCATCTATATATACTACCAGCAGACAGAACTTAATGTTAACCAATGATAATCTAGGGTGTCACTTGATTGGAGAGTTCTGCACGTTTGGATTCATAAAATCAACTGCACGTTCTATAAAACAAGTTTGAACAGAGATCAGAACGTGTTCCATGTGTGCAGAAAAATTAGTAGGTGTAGAAAGAATTCAAAATGGTGGAGAAAGAAATATTTGGGGACATTTTGAATGGTACTGTTCCATTTAGGCCAGAATAGGAACTGACCGAACCTGCTAAGGACACTCCAATCGAGCGCCACCAAATCTCGTTTTGTTTAAATTTAATATGCCTGCTAAAGTTGGAAGTATGAGTTTTCATTTTCAATGGATATCTGGTAAACCAAGGTATAGGAGAGCAAAGATATTTATGTTATCTTGGTCTGATTCAAATTATGTAATCATGAACAGTCCAATTTACTTGTGGGTAAAATAAATAGTTATTGAAACTCTACAGACTATACTTACATTGTGTCGATTACTACTCAGACTACCTAAAAATTAAAATGGACTATTTGTGTTTATGGTTTGAATCAGTGTTTGAATTTAGTCTTTGCTAGACTATTCTTGTATACCCCTTTTAAGTTTGTGTTCTATAGTTGTGATTTGTTTGTAGGCTATTGGGGTATAATTTTGTTTTATGTTAACTATTTGAAAAATAAGAATAGTGCTAAAATAGTATATGTATGTAAGTGATATATAAATTAAGGTACTGGTACCTATTTTACTTTAAAGAGATTGCAAGAGGTTTTCTACAAAATTTTATGTGGGACACTGATATCATCAATTTGCATCATTCCAATTTTCTTCAATCAGATGTCTGTGATTCCTGCAATTCCACTAAAACTTAGTGTTTGATGATGTCATTAATCGCAAAATATGCTTTATCACATAAGGCCCTTTGCAATTAGTGACGTCATCAAACAGTGGAATATAGTGGAATTGCAGGAACCACAGATGTCTGATTGAAAAATGGAATGGTGGAATTCTATGCTATCAGTGTCTCTGAAAACCTCTTTACAATCTCTTTCAGAATCGTTTACCTACAAAACCAATGGGAACCTTCAAAATTTGTGTTTTTGTTTTTGTGCTGTTGGTCAAGTATATGTCCTGGGACAATAACTTTAGTTTGAAGTTTAATGAGTCATGTTATTATTAATAAAACTTGCCATCGCATTTAGGTTTGATAAAAATACAACTCAGGATATTTCAATTCCACAATGGAATATTAGAAGCACCAGTTATAGATAAATAAGACAATTTATTACTTTCAAAATTTCAATTGGGTTATTATGATATTCCTGAAGATAGTATGAAAACCACATTGAAACATTGAAAATAATAAATATTCTTGTAATATCTATCCATAATAATTCTCTTAGTCATCTGAATTTTGTTCCTTTAACATTCTATGGGTTAAGTACCCTTATATTATAATCTGAGCTCTGAACACACTTTTTTAAATCAAAAATCATGTTTGAGGCAAAACTATTAAACAATAAATGCTAACAAATGTAAATATCTCAAAAAATATATTAAAGAATTTATCTGGATCTGAATTTAATAAGAAAGGTCAAACTAATATAGAGTTTTCAAATGAAAGATGGAGAAATTGTTGAGATGGTGTTTATGTTGTTATTAATATGCATAAATATTCCTGAATGCCTATTTAGACTATATTTGTAAAAAGAAATAATATAATGTATCAATGAAATGACTACTATCTAGGCCAAATATTGTTTGTGTACATAACATATTTATTATTTTGTATATAAAGTAAATTCTAGTATTTGTCTGTATATGCAATGTCAATATCAGGTTTCGATGACCTTCACATTGAATTGTAAAATACTGAATACAAGGTAGGTAGGTAGATGACAAGTTAACGTTCGCTTTGTATGGATGTTGATATCTCAAACTAGGTAGTTATTGGGATCAAATATAAAGAAAACAGGTCTAATCACTAATCATAGAACGCTACTCTCAATGTAAAATAGTTGTACAGGCTGTAGTCTGAAAGAGCCGCTTAAAATGAAACAATTTGTGAAAAACTGTGCAATTTGGACTGTTTTGACAATGGCATGATGATGGTTATATGTACTTATACCTTGACAGCAATAGTCACCTTTCTTGTATCATGAAAATTTGATTGGATAGTATGCCATCGAATACAGTCAATCAGAGTCCTTGACAGAATGACAAAACAATAAGCCATAATGTTAACAGTGTTTCAGTTTAGGGTTCTGATTGGCTGTATTCGTTTGTGTACAATCCAACCAATTCGCAGCATTCTGTGATACAAGAAAGGTGCCTATTGCAGTAAATGTATGAGAAGAAGTTGGTAATAGCTTGCCATTGTGAAGATAGTTATTTTGAAGCTAGCCAACGTAACCATGTAATTGTTATAGATTTGTGACATTGATATTTTGTATTTGAAATTTATTTAGGTTTCGAGTATTTGTGCATTATGATCATATATGTTTGTTGATTCTTTCTGTACGCCATGATATTATATTGTAATTCATTTCTACCAAATTTAAAGGATTCAAAAGAGGTTTTCTTGTCAAATCATTTTCACAAAGTCAAGCCATTACAAACTTCCTACTTATGCCTTGACTGTAATAGCCATTTGTTTAGATTGTACGCTTAGAATACAGCCAATCAGAGGCTTCGACAGAAAGTCAGTGAACGCAAAGCAATAATGTTTACAGCATTTCTGTTGAGGGCTCTGATTGGCTGTATTGCTGGCGTTCAATCCAATAAAATCGCTGCATTCTGTGATGCTATTGTAGTCAAGGTATAAGTACAGAGTTTGTAGTAACTTGACATTGTGAAGATGAGTCTACATGTGTATGGGGGTCCCTAAATTTTTTCTTATTGCATCAATCCAATTTTACGTCGAATGATTGTGTTTCCTGTAATGAGAACAAGGATTGGACCAGATTATGACAAATCTATTTCTGCTGACATTTATAAATAAAATTTTGTCATTATTTGGTCACGTTTTTCTGGATGATGCTAACAAAAAAATAATGGTCCACGATATACATATAGCCTCTAAAACCTCTCTTGGATCTTTAATACATTATAGATGTTTTAGTGAATTATTTAATGTCCTATATTCTAAGTTTTCTAGAATGGCTTGACAAGTTTCTTATTCCAATGTCTGTCTGTGAGGGTTTATATTATGTTCCCCAGTTCCATTCATACATGTAGATAAAATTAATTTATTCAATCACTATGATTTTAAACGAGGATATTTTGCTTTGTAATTAATTGTAATGTATTTTTTACAAGTCAATTTTTAATTTTTGTTTGTTGATTAAAATATTTCTATTTTTAAATTTTTGTATTTATTTATCAAATCGTAGAACATTGGGTTTTTTCAGTCAGATTGAACTCTTGACACCTCATTTTTAATTGGTAAAGATTTTATGTCTAGACCAATCAGAATTATCAAAAGAAATATTGGCCTCCTACAAGAAAAAGACCTTAGTAGGGATAGTGAAAACCTCTGTGCTTAGGTAAGACCCCACCACCAGACTAGAAGAGCCAGTCGGACACTACGACAAACTACCAGGCCTATCTACAGTCAACGCACAAAAACTATTCAGCAATTGCAAAAACCAGACAGGTGGACTTTGAACTTTTAGCAAACCAGTAGTCTGACTGAAATTAAACTTATATGCATTAGCCTAGGCCTGAAGACTTCGGTAATCTTCGGCTTTCTTCGGTTGTCATCGCCGCTCGGTCCCGAAAAGTAGAAAGGCCCATCATCTGACAAATCCGGTTTCGGACACAATATTAGCACCCAATTTTAGACAAACAAACCCAATTAAAAAACTGATCCCAAATTACTGACGAGTAACAGTTACAATAAAAAGGAAAAATTATGCGATAATGTTGCGTGACGGTTAAAATAAGGTTTAGATCTAGTTGTTCTACTTTTGAACGGAACCTGAATGTACAACGAGGCTTCGTCCATTTTGAAAGTGGTCAGGCGAGTCGAATGTTAACAATCTAAAATTTGCATTAAGATTCGGAAAACAGAGCTAAGTAACATCTGTGTTGTTTTCTGTAACAATCTTTTCATGCGGTTTGATTGTTAGACATTTGGTTTTGTGAAGATCAGTTAATTTGATTCCATAATCTTGCTTCAACCACAAACAGAAATTTTAAATTGTTCAGTTAGCCAGCCTACTAACATCGTTTGAGACATAAAGTATAACGTAATTTGTGGCTGTCTAGGGAGTACAACTTTTAGAGCTCGAATTTGGCTAGTTTTAATCATATATCTTTAACTGACCAACAGTAAGGTAATAATTGTGATAGATTTACGCAGTTGAGGCAATCAGTTTTTAGTGAAACTCAACAAAGAAGATTTTTTTTATAATCTGGGCTAATTTCTCATTGTGTCCACTCTTAACTTGCCATCAACAGTGGTTTGAAGATCCATCAGGCTTGTGGTAAGTATATACATGGATATGATAATACCTTATCCATATTAATCTAATAAGTTTTGGTGATTAAATTGCATGAACATATGAGATTATTTTAATATACTCTTTCAGTTTACTGAATTGAATTTTGGCAATCATTTTCGTATGAATGAATTGCAATATTAATTACAAAATGGGGCAAAATACTAAGTTTTGGATTGCCTTTGGCCTACTGGGTTAATGAAAATGTTAATCACTAGAAAAGTCATTATTTGTAACATGATATTACACTTACAGAGGTGAATATTCAGTCTGAAAAGTAGGTCATTTCACCTGAGAGCAAAATGTATCTCTTTGAAAGAGTAGGGTTAAATTTTAACTTAAACTAATAGGCCTAGTTTGTATTGAACTCATTGAAGCATGAAGGTGAAAATATTTAAGGCCTATTTTGTGGAGAAACTTACTGATTATTTTGTTCCTTCATGATATACAAAAGCCTTTTTTTGAACTGAATGTACAGGCACTCCCATATGAACTAAGGGTAAGCTTATATTATGTGATCAATCTCAATTGAATATAAGTTGAAATAGTCTTGTCCAACTTGCTATTTACATTGAAATTTTTATATATAATAATAAGTTAGATTATAATATTAAAACAGAACCTAAAAAGACATGCTGTTGTTACCTGGTATCTAAGTTTTCACGCTATTCGATCTGAGTAAAAACAACGTTTTTAGGTTCTGTTTTGATATTTCTGTATCTACAATTATTGTATTGAGCACTATTTTAACAGTGAAACTATTTTATTATTGTATAATAATTATGTTTTTCTGTGTTTCAGCTAGCTTTTTACCAGATACAGTTTTTTTTGTGTAAAGAAATGGCTTGTGGAGCAACCTTAAAGCGTTCCCATGAATTTGATTCCTTACATAGTCCAGGTTCCCCAAAAAGAAGAAAATATGTTATGCCAATATCAACACCTCCTGCAAAGCAAACTAAATCACAATTTTTTGATGCATCACCAAAATTAACATCAGGTAGGTTATGTCAGTGAATGAAGATGAGTTTTTCTTTGTAACGTCTGTAGCTACATTTGTGTTGTTTCTGCTTATAGTAATTTCTGCCCTTTTCACAGTTGACACCAATGGATTTATCCCATTAATGATCGATACTTAAGAGCCTGCTCTTCTTAGACTTTGAAAAGGTCAAACCATCGCATTTTAATTCCATTACATATTATCATAATTTATACTTAGATATTTGGAAGAAAATCATTTATTTGTAATATTCTTTTCAGAGCAAATTGCTTCAAGAATAAGTATGGAATTAAAACGAATGCATCGTCGCCGTCAACTACATTATCAAGGTCAAGACAATGTTGAAAATCAGAATTCACCACAACCCTCAACTTCAGAACAGCCAGCTTGTATTGGTTTTGACAGTTCATTACATTCAAACCAAAACTTTACTTCACCTAAAAAAGATATACCGTTATTCACTTTTAGACAAGTCAGTATGATATGTGATAGAATGATCAAGGACAGAGAGGAGCAAATTCAGGTCCAATATGATAGTATCTTAGCATCCAAATTAGCAGGTAATTGTATAGTCAATGTTTAAAAGATCTATTACAAATTGTTATAATGCATGCAGAAAATATAGTAAAGGGTACGAGACATAAAATGTCCCATGGATCGAAATTGCAGTCTGTCAGTTCTTAAAATTTGAAAACTTAATTGGTAAAATATGATGAAAACATGGCCTGTCTGTCATGATGTTATTCAGTTGCATCAGATTGAAATGGATTCTACAAGCAAGAATTTCACTTATTTATGGAACTAAAATAAGGATGGTTTTTTTTTTCCAAATCCCTTCACAAATAGCCTGCCTTATTTCTATTCCATAAGTTTTTGCCTTTCTTTTAATCATTTCTTACTATTTGTCTTTTAGAACAGTATGAAGCATTTTTAAGATTTAATCACGATCAGTTACAAAAAAGATTTGGTGATGCCCCAATGAGTTGTAAGTAGTATTGTTATTATCTTAGAATAAATTTCACATTTTTCATTAGTGTTCATTCAATTGGAAATCTATCTGTAGGGACTAATTAAGGTAGACGACTTTTAAGTAGCTCTTGCCATGTAATACAGGATTGCAATGATTAATCAATAATTAGCCATACTGTTTCCCTAATTAAATATAATAATAATAGTGATTCATTGACAGGGCTTTGTGTCTTGGGACTATTTTCGTAGTACGATTACAAAATGTACAGTTTGCTCTTTGGCTAAAACACGTCAATAATTATTAGTAAATATATTTTGTGTTGCCATTATTATTTTATGCTTTTTCCATCTGTTGATTATGATATCCGGTTCACTCCTCAAGATATAACTTATTGTTAAGCCTATATAGTGTCTAATTTTCTTCTCTTTTAGATGTGTCTTAAGGAAGGAGGTGGAAGGAAGCCTATGAGCTTAACAATGGTATGATTGTGTAAATACAAGATTGCAAGTTATACATATATGTGCATGAAGAAAAATTATTAAATTATTTTATTACAAAATTGAGTTTATTTTTTTGTTTCACCCATAGTCTGTGGGTTACTTCATTCATACCCCTGATCTGACAAAATACTGAAAAAACAGAATGAAAATAGGAATTTAGGCACACCTGTTGCTAAAAGTTGGAGCATTTGATTGGATGAATTAGGTAAACATGTCAGATTTTGGTTAGAGTGAAGTTATACAAAGGGCTAACATGAAACATCAGTATGAGCTCAAGTCTCACCCGTCAGGGCTAACATGAATCTCTAGTATGAGCTCAAGTCATAAAGGGCTGACATGAAACACCAGTATGAGCTCAAGTCTCACCTCATAGTGCTAACATGAAACACCAGTATGAGCTCAAGTTGCAATGAGCTAACATGAAACACCAGTATGAGCTCAAGTTGCAATGAGCTAACATGAAACACCAGTATGAGCTAAAGTCGCAATGGGCTAACATGAAACATCAGTATGAGCTCGAAGTCGCCAAGGGCTAACATGAAACACCAGTATGAGCTCAAGTCTCACCTGACAGGGCTAACATGAAATACCAGTATGAGCTCAAGTCTCACCCGTCAGGGCTAACATGAATCTCTAGTATGAGCTTAAGTAATAAAGGGCTAACATGAAACACCAGTATGAGCTCGAAGTCGCCAAGGGCTAACATGAAACACCAGTATGAGCTCAAGTCTCACCTGACAGGGCTAACATGAATCTCTAGTATGAGCTTAAGTAATAAAGGGCTGACATGAAACACCAGTATGAGCTCAAGTCTCACCTCATAGTGCTAACATGAAACACCAGTATGAGCTCGAAGTTGCCTAGGGCTAACATGAAACACCAGTAGGAGCTCAAGTCACAATGGGCTAACTTGAAACACCAGTATGAGCTGAAACCACAAAGGTCTAACATCAAACAACAGTGAGCTGAAACCACAAAGGTCTAACATCAAACAACAGTGAGCTCAGGTAGAAAAGGGCTAATATGAAACACCAGTATGAGGTCAAACCACAAAGGTCTAACATGAAACAACAGTATGAGCTCAAGGTTCACCTCACAGGGCAAACATGAAACAAAATATGAGCACAATTCTCACCTCAAAGTCAACAGTACTTACATGAAACATCAGAATGAGCTCACTTTGTAGCAGCAAACAATCCATTTCAAATAATGTTTATGCTGCAATATATTTATTTTCACCAAAAAAAACAAATGTGTTCCAGAAACTTTATTCATGAAAAAAAAAACACAGTTGGTTCTCTGTAATAATTGACACCAAGAATTTATATAGCTTTTCAACAAATAAAATAACATTTGTATAAAAGACAAAATGAAACAAGTGATAGAAGTTACCGTACCCAAAACATCAAACTACTGTAACATTATTCTACCAGAAGTTACAAGATAATCAAAAGGCAAATCTGGATGTGTTGTTTTGTGTTTTTCTGCGCTGCCTCCAGGAGCCATTGCAATAGGGCAAAATTAACTGAACATGATTCAAAGAATATTCTTGTCAGATCAAAGAAGACATGTGTGGTAACCCACAGAAAAGCACAAAACTAATCATTTTAATCAGATTATCTGAAGTGAATATACTCATGGTTTTGGATCATCCGGTGTCAATATTTAGTAGTAAAGACTAGATAACAAGTTAGTATCATCAACAGACATCTTAAGAGCAGCAAGTAAGGACACCAGAGCAGTTTGTATTGCTCGATATTTAACTAGCAAGTACATTGCAGGCGGATAATTATTGGAAAATAAATGAAAATTATTGGATAATATATGCACATGAAAGGTACCAATAAGGCCTAAGTGGTTGGAGAATTGTAGCAGAACCTGACGTCTGATTTCTATTCTGAAAAGTGAATAGCTGAAACTAAACTCTATCTGGACGACTATATTGTTTAGCTGATAATGAAAAATCATTGCAAGAGGGGAGAAAAACTATTACAAATGCACTTGCCAAACTGAGTAATGACAGTTGTGCATTCATGTTAGCACATTAATCTCTAGTTTTTCAGTTCATCAATAAAAGAGCCCTGACACCATAGCGATCATCAGTTGCTCATGGTTGCAAATACAAATAGCGGTGATAAGTTTCACTTTCATCATTCACAACTGGTAATCGCTATGGTGTGAGGGTACCTTTACTATTCTATGTGCTTATATTAGTTGGTGCTTATTCTAACTTTCTAATTCACTTCGTATGCGACATGTATGTTCTGTTAATTCAGATAGAAGACGATTTAAGTTTTTCATTTGAGAATTATCATAATTCATTACACTTTGTTCCATATGTTCTATACTCCATATATAATATTTACGTGCCTTTTCCAAATAAACGAGTCTATTAGGTTTAACACTACCAGTTAATGTTCGGATCAAAATTTTCCTTTTGTTCAGTAAATAGTTCAGATGATCAGTTAAATATGACAGTCTGGATGATGGACCTGATAAATTTTGTTTCTCTTTATAAGCATCGAGTATATCATGTTTAATATTCAGTAAAGACTTATATAACTGTTTAGTCAAAAAAGTATTTAGATACATGAAACAGTCTCCTGTAGCATACAAACAGTTCATTTCATAATCAAAGAGTAAAGATGGCGGCAACCTTTGATTTGGTCTGTATAGAAAATGACTATCTTGTAATTCCATGATCAATTCTGTTTCAACGTGTAGCAAGGCTGATCTTAAAGTTTCTTCATCTGGGGAATCAGAATTCTGATTACATGATAGATTTTGAGATAAATTTTCCAAACAATTGCGAATCACTTCAAGTTCTTGTTTGACACTAGTGTATTTATTGCTTGTAGGAGGTAAGGGGAAAGTGGGGCAACTATATTTTAATTTAATCAATCTCAACCGTTCTTCATAAGCTTCAGACACATGTGGAATATCAGCCTCTATTTTTGGTTCTTTCTTATAGAAGTTCTCGCAGGAATTCTGTGATTCCATTATGTTTCCATTTGCTATCTTATTCAATGTGCTATCTTCAATATGTTCTTCATAGTCATGTGCAGGGGAGAATTCTTCTGAGCTATTAAAATGCACTTTTTCCAGTGAACTGATAGGTTTATCATCAGTTACAGGGGTCAAATCTACAGGACTTGGTGTAGGGCTTTTAAGCTGTTTAGGTTGGTCTGACTGACTAGGACTGCTATCACTGTAAGCTAGAGAACTACCGTTTTTGTTTGGACTGCTACCAAATTGTTTGACATCAGAGATATGGTCCATGTTCTCTTCTTCTTTTACATCTGAACAATTGCTAAATGAATTTGATTCTTCTGTTTTACTAAGTTGTGTTTCAGTAGAGGAACAGTTTGTATGGTATACTTCCATTTCTTTGTAAGAAGGTTTTTCCTCCTGTTCTAACAAACTTGTGTCTAGTTTATCTGAAGAGATCGTACTAGATGATTCTGGAACATCACTTTGTTTATGTGGTGATAAATCACACACCTGAATACCATTAGCAGTCGATTTTCCCGCATTTAGATCTGGCTTCATGTCAATGATTAATTCATTAGAGTATTCATCATCATCATCATCATCATGCAAATCTTTAGCACAACAATCATTTGGTGATGATGCAGTAGTGAGATCATTTTGCAATATTGGTTGGTCACTTAGCCATGAATATTTAGAATCTGATGCACTGGATTCAAAAATACTTTTTAATCGTTTAACATCATTATCATCTTTATCATCACAAGAATTGCGTCTTTTTGCTGGAAGAACATCATCTTGGTTATTTTCAACTGGAACTGATTCCATTTTTTTATCATTCCCTTTCACATTATCATCTTTAAATAACTCAATATGTTCCAAATATTTCTTAACAGATTTATGTTTTTTATTTGAAATATAAGCTGCCAAATCATCTCTCTCTATAATGCAGGTTTTACAGTTAGTTAAGCTAGCTTCAGCCACCTGGAAAGAGAAACGTTGAAGAAGGTAAATTAAATCTGTCAAATTCTAGTGTGCATGCATAAGCTAAAGATTGAAATCTTTGTTTCCATTTCCTACCCTTTTCATCTTTACAATGTCAAGCTATTAAGAACTTTGTACTTATACCTTGACTGAAATGTTCACATTTCTTGTATCATAGAAGTTTGTAGATGAAGTTATTTGATTGGATTGTTCACTAGCAAATACAGGCAAGCAGAGGTCTGCAGAAAGCCTGTGAACACAAAGCCATAATGTTTACAGCCTTTCTGTTGAGGGCTCTGATTGGCTGTATTTGCTGGCAAACAATCCAATCAAACTGTTGCATTCTATGATACAAGAATAGTGGCTATTGCAGTCAAGGTATAAGTACGAAGTTTATAATGACTAGACCTTCCCAAAATAAGCCTTTTTGACTCCATATATCTCTAATTATTTTGGCGTATTGCATCATGATAACTTTTTGAAAATTACATATAGTTTCTACCCTACCTCCTTTGGTGGTTACTGATACCCTTAAGGGATACTATTACTAGTATGGTAAGCTATTTTGGAATCAGGGATTAATGGGTATGGATGTTTTAATGTACATCATAATGACATAAACAGATGATAGAACTTCTTGTAATGTTAATTACAACTGAACATCTTTTCAAAATATAAGGGATCATAATTAATCATCTTACCCTTTTCAAATCAACTAGTTCTACTTTTGGTTGAAACTTAAAGTTCATCTTGTTCACATCTTTATTTTGAACTAACTGATTCTCTTTCAGCCATTTCTTCCACTGTCTCTGGCTTGAATAAAGTCCCTCAAGTTTTTGACTACACTGAATGTTCGGTTCATTAATAGCTACAGGTTTTTCACTGCTAGCTGAAGGATGTTCACTGCTAGCTGAAGGATTTTCACTATTGGCTACAGGTTTTTCACTGTTTGCTGAAGGATGTTCACTGCTTGCTGAAGGCTGTTCACTGTCGGCTACAGGATGCTCATTACTAGAAAGTTTTCTATTGTATACAGAGCACTCACTGCTGAATACAGCCTCGTCATTGCTGGTTACAGTGTCTTCAATCTTGGTAACAGATTGTTTGGTACTAAATATAGAGTGATCAACAGAATGTTCTGCACTGTTTACAGAATGAGTTGTCTGTTCAAGCAGATGATGGGAGCTATTGTCATTGGTAGCAGGATTTTTTGTGATAGTTTTTTCCGAATTTGTCCCATTTGAAGAAGTATTAGCTTGATCTGACATGTGTTGAGAATACGAGACAGAATTTGGCCAGAGAGTTTGTCTAGGATCATTTTGACTTTGTGTGTATTGCACAGTTGATGAGTTTATTTTAGAGGGATCTTGTTTTTGTCGATAATCAACGTCGCCATAGCAATTAACTGTTATATTACTGTTATCAACATCACATATTTTTGACCGCTGATACTTTTCCAAACCAGTCCTATCAACAAGTGACTTGGAAAAATACGGATCTGAAATATTTTTGTCAGGATGAGAATTAGGAGACTGACTGATTTTTTGAGGACTGGCTTCTCCAGTGAAATTAAACTTAGAAATAACATCCTGTAAGTCACCTAAATTCTGCAGTTGTGCTGCCAGACTTTGAACATAGCTTGTGTCCTTTTTAGTCTCATGTTTGATGGGTGACACTGTTTCTGCAGGAGATTCCACCATTTTTGTTGGACTAGAGCAGGATTGTGATTTCTGGCCTAAATTTTCAGTGCTGTCATATCCTGAATGAGGTCCAAACATTGTACCCATCTCCTGTACAGATTCTTTTGGAGGTTCATTAGAAGTTGGAGCTTTGCCGAAAAGTTTATTCACTGTTTTGATCATTTCTGCCATATTGGTTTGAGCAGGAGTTGGTTGAAGCTTCTCAACTTTTGGAGGTGTCACTGGCAAATTAGTCAAACTATCTTCTTCTACTGTGGTGGACTGAGGAGTTGAAGTATCAGACACAGAAAAGTCCAACTTTTCAATAATTAAGTTATTTTTTCTCATCTGGGTTTGGCCAGTGGACATTGTTACTGTTCCTTTTTTCTTTTTTCTCATAAATGGGTGAAGTGGTTTCTCTCCAAGTTTCTGTGGCAAATCAGACTGTGATGAAATGGAATTTGTTGATGATCCTGAGGAATATATAGATTGACCATGAGCTGATCTGCGAGGATCTGATATAGAAGACTGTCTTGAAATCATATCTGGGTTAGCTGTCGGAAAGCTTGATTTTACACCTGTGTCAATCAGTAATTCAGGTCTCAAATAACCAGGTTTCTCATTGTACGTGTCTTTGAAACCTTCCTTCATGATTAAAGGATTGATTGATGGTTGTAAGGATTCTTCCATGTTAAATCCTGCATTTTGAATTGGTATTGGAGATTGATCTAGACTGGTTCTCTTAAGAGCTTGATTTCGTGCGCCATAGGTACCTGGTCTGAATGGCAGACCCTGATCTGAGGAACGACGTCTGTTGCCAAATGTAGAAGATGAGGAAGATGATGTGGTATTAGATAAACTGGAAATCAATGTTGTCTTTGTTTGTATTTTGGTAGCTTTAATAAAAGAGACAACTGCGACTGGTAGACAATGTCTTGGTCTATTAATTGGCAAAGCATCATCGTCATATTCATACAAATAAATCTGAAATAAACATATTACAAATAATTAATCATTCTGAAATAGCAGCTAGTGATATCAGCTTCTCAAAATAAAAAAAAAACTCTTGGTTCAAACATAACATACCCTTAAAATTGACATCTTTCCACTTTTTAAACATTTTCACAAGCAAATATCAATGATTGTCATGTCATGATATTACTTTAATTTTAATAAGCTGGAAGTGATGACAGTCTTAATTTATATGGAAGAATTTAGTTCATTTGCAGAAGAATTAGACATCAGACTGAACTATAAAAATAAAAACAGTTAGCTGGTTTAAGTATATCTGAGTCTTTAGGATCAATAAAAGATTCAAAGTTAAGTATATACCTGTGATCTAGGAAAGAGTACATTGGGTGGATCATTATTAAGAGTAATTAAGTATATCTGAGTCTTTGGGATCAATAAAAGATTCAAAGTTAAGTAAATACCTGTGATCTAGGAAAGAGTATATTGGGTGGATCATTAATAAGAGTAGCTAAAGAACTGGTGGTAGAATCATAGTTTGGTGCTGGTTCACCCATTATATTACCCTGTGGTGGTATAGCTTTACATCTACCTAACATGTACTGAATCAAATAAGAAAATTTGTCAAGCATGGTAATTATTTTATCAATGGAAATATAGCCATAGACTTTTCTGAGAGTCCATTATGAACAAATTTTGTCTGTTTAACAGCCAATGAGGTCTTTTTGACCGAAATATTTGGTTTCATTTTGCCATTTAGACATAGAATGACATGTAATAGGTTTACCTATACTTAACATCCGTTACAGGTTATTGACCCTCAGTCATTTGAGCTGCCCTGACGGTCATGTCCTAACAATTGAGCCAAATCAACAGCTCTGCCATGTCGTTTTGATTATAACCTATCAGCTTTTCACAAGTCTTGTGTCGTAAAATTATCCCTCAATAATGCAATTAGCTTGTAAACTTCACATGTCATTTATATATCAATATGCAACAATAATTTGTGGGAAATTTAGCACAACGCGCCAACTGAATACAAGATAGTTATACTAGATGTACCTTGAATATGATGATGTAAGCTGATTCATCATGTTTCATTGATGGTAATTTCAATTGAACATCAGGATATTTACATATATAAATACCAAACTCATTATCACCTACAAACAATTTGATATTTCTTTCATCATCCTATACAAAATATCTTACATGGATAATAAAAATATAGGATCTCAGCTAAGCATAGTATATATTCAGTACAAATAAGATGTCCTGTTTGTCTACAATTGGATAAAAATATACTTGCAAAAGTGACAGCAGTCTTATTTTCTAATTTCTAAAGTTAATATTACAAAATTATCATTAGTTGTAATTACTTTAATGTTAATAATAATGATATAGGATCAGGTTCATATCATCTTCACAATATCAATCTATTATGAACTGTGTCTAATACCTTGACTGTGATAGTCACTTTTCTTGTATCACAGAAGTTTGTAAATGCAGTGATTTGATTAGATTGTGCACAAGAAAATACAGCCAATCAATGAGCAGCAAAATTGATAAAAGGCTTTCTGTCGTGAGCACTGCTTGGCTGCTTTTGCTGGCATGCAATCCAGTCAACTCTACAAATTTCTGTAATACAAAGAAGATGGCCATTTGCAGTCAAGATATAAGATGAAGTTCGTAATAGCTTGACATTGTGGATGTGTTCAGACTTCAGACTTCAGATCCACCATATTCTGAGGTAAAGAGGCAATAGAACCTACCTAAAGGATTAAAAACAGATTTCTTAGCTTTTAGTCCTTCTTTTATCATCTTTGACATCAAAACCATTTCCTTAACAAACAAAAATCCATAATGATCCGCTAGCTCCCTTTGATTTCGTCCATTTTCCTTGAATTCTTTCTTTTTACAACTGAAAGGTAAGTATAAGATACATTATGAAAATATCATGCAGCACATGAGTCACTCAAAGACTATTAAAAATGGTTTGTGGACTCTCTTAAAGGAGTGCTGGGTTCGGAATCCCAATCACAGACTGGTATCAGATATTAAAGGGGTTGCAAAGATGTGTATCAGGACCATTTAAGGCTTCAATTTGCATCACTTGTAAAGCTAGAAAGGAAATAAAAGATATCATAATTACCTGTATTCCGTCTGTAATTCACTGTTGTCTACTAACGATACTTTATCTATCGTCCAGTCTTCTTTATATCTTTCATTAATACAATTACGATTAATAATATTCATTATCTCAATCGCATCTCTACTATTTATATCAACATTTCTTAAATTACCTACAATTTAAGAAAACAGCATATCAAATATTCTGTTATCAACAAATACTGAACCTTTGGGTCTCTTCAAAAGCCTCTGATGAAACAGCATTTTATATCAAGGGCAAGGCCAGTTTAATAACTCTTATCTAATTGAATAGAGCTCATCTCATGTTGTCAGCATGTGTTTCAGATAAACAATCCTAGTCAGGACAGCATTATTGGAAATTGGGGATAAATCACCAAAATAGGATAAGACATATGAAGAAAGTAGGAAACTAACTGAATAGGAGTGAATACTAGAAAGAGTAGCAAGATGATATGTGTTTCAGACATATATCTATAAACAGGACAGCTTTTTTGGGAAAAAGAGGTATGGATTACTAATTTTAGGACTCAAAAGTCTATATTGAGCTCACCCACCTTTAGATTTGGCTACCTTAAGTTTAGGTATACTGAAGTTCTTTGACTTCTCCATTATTCATAACAGGCCTTAGCTTTCTATTCTGAAATATTCAAAAATATTCCTATTCAATTGATATCCACATTGTCTACAGTCTTTTGCTTCCTTGTTAGGGATTTGCTTAAAAGGAGAGTGTGTTTATGGATGGACTGAGGCAGACGAAATTCAGAATATTTTGACAGTGACAGCAGACTACACGTCCTTTGTTATTTACGCAAAGTATAAAACTAAGCCTTACAAAGACCCTTATTAAGGCAAAACAAAAGTGTGCCATTGAAAGCGGACAAAATCCTTATAAAACAGAGCCTATTTTTTCTAACCCTACTCCAATTGACAACTCATAAGTTGGAATTGAGTCAGATAGTGCGACTGGAACCCAGCCTAATATTTTGTAGATGTACTGTACACGTCTTATTTCATAATATTAGGATCGTTACCATTTCAAAGTTCAATACTTATGCCATGAGCAGTGACAAAAAAAGACACTGACGTCTTAAATCTAAAATGTAAACTTCATTATTTTGAATGATTTTAAGCTTTCATTTTTCATTGTCAATCATATGTTGCCAATTCAATGCAAGGGGACGTAATTCTAGCTTACGAATTAAATCTTTTCAACGGATTTCTTGAGTCATTTCGACCCATATTGACGTTTCGACCTCTGAAAAAACTGATGATCTGTCTGTCAATTTATAATAAATTAATTGCCGTCGCCCAAGGGATGTCAACATTATATTCTAGAACCTCAAGGCACTGAGAAAAGTCAAAGAAAATCTAAATGAAAGTATTTTAGTTATGTTACTTCCCTTGACCTGGTCAAAGGCATCAAATTTAGCCTTTTATGATAAAATCCGGTATTCAAATTTGCATTGTCTACGTTTTTTTTATAAGAGATACTCTCTTATAGAAGCACTTGCCAAGGTCACAAGTAGAGCCTATGGGGTTTCAATTAATTCTACCTCACCCTTACTGACGTATGAGGTAGCCCTGACTCTGGGTTTCAGCATTGTAATACATCAATTTGATAAGAAGTTACCTACTTAATTGTCTGTGTAAGCCATATTCACATTAAAGAAATTTCTGGCTAGAGGGGGGATGGCCCCCTTAAGAAAATTTTAACCCCCCCCCCCCCCCCCCCCCTTTCAAAAAATTTGGCCACCTTGAGATCCAATTGACACTTCGTCATTACTTCAGTGGCCGCCCTAACTCCTGAGATCCTGTGCTGGCCACGAGCCTGGCCCTATTGCATGCAACATAAAAAAAAAACAACGAACTGCAGCATTTTAAAAATTTCATGGCAGCTTTAATCTTTTGAAAAATGACTAATCCATTTTAAACCTTTTTCTTTCCATTGTCCCTTTCAGGTTCCACGAGTTTTTCCTTATTATTTCATGGTTCCCCCTGCAATCTTCTTGAATGTCTATGACTGCATAGAGCGCAATAAATGCCCAAAAATGCTATGCCAGATTACAAAGCACCTAGGGCCTGGAGACGATAACTGATAGGTGACAACTATTGATCACTTGATGATGCAAGCTAGAAATTAGTATAAAATCTTCATTTAGGTACGCCCTTCATCAAATTCTCAAATTGCAAGGGGCAAATTTACTATTTTGTGCTTCATAGGCAGTTTTATCATCCGTTTAACCAATCATATCCTACCACTTTTCAAGACCCAAATCAAACCTCGAAAATGGCAAACCATGGCCTCTAAAAACAAAAAAAGTAGGTTGGTAAAAGTAGTTTATTTCATTCCATACACAGTTGTTATATAACAATATTTCAAGACTTTTATGTAGGTTAGTAGATGACACTTTGAAGGCTTATGAATTTTGACCTTCAATGACCTTCAACTTGGTCCATAAACTCCAGGTTACAAAAAAAGAAGGCCTAACAAATAGCTTATTTTATTTAGACCCAGGCTGCCATTTCACATTTCGTATGTTTTCGATCCCATGACTAACCTGCGTGCGTTTCAGTCCAACTGCTGTTTTTGATATTGCGATCACCGAGTGCGAATCGAACGAAGCCTATGGGCTACTCTCTAATAAAAGAAATTAAAATTGATCTTGATGGCAGAAACCTTTTTTTCGCAGACGACACTATTGATTGAGGTATCTGAAGAGTTATCTACAACAGGAAAATAAACTGCCGCAATTAAAATTTAAGCAAATTGATCGAAAATATAGTTTTGGTCAGGGGACAAATATAGGGGCCTAAGGATACACCCTCTATGATTAGGTTACAACCGACAAAAACGTGTAAGGAATAAAGTTACAGAAAGGTAAGTCTTTCAAATTTTTGGGGCGCAAAATAGGCTTATGTCTGTCTGATCTGTTACCTTTTGTGTGTTTTCAATAGGTTTATTTGCCCCTGTAAATCATTCACGATTTTACTTGAAATGTAGGCATATATGATGTTGGTAGCCTGTTTCAGTAATTGTAAAATTGAGGATAACTTTCTCAGTTAGCAAATTAATTTGGCCCAAATAGTAGCTGCACAATAAATCAATTAAAAAATTGTAGCCAACTTTCTGTATATTTGACTGGATATTAGAATGGACATAAATTTTATAGTCTCAAACTTGGTCATTAAGTGTATGTACATATATTCATCAGTTGGACTTACCAGGTGCAATGACTAAAGAATGAAATCTCTATATAACACAATATATCCATTTAACTAAGTAATAATTACTTAGTTAATCTATTACAGTTCTATGGTTAAATGGATTATTACTTAGTTTTATGGATTTATTGGATTATAGAGGGATTATAGCATATAGTTTTTTGAAACCAAGTAAGTCAACTGATAAACAAGGCTTCAGTTTTCAAATTGTAGGTCCTCCTAAAAGGTAGTATACCTTTAATAATCCAATAACGAGAGAGAACACTACACCCTGAAAAAGTGATTAGTACATGAAACTGAGTAAAATGTGGAGACTCATTTTTAAAAATTTAACAAGATCCATTTTTTCTGGTGATATTCAACATCTTTCATAACATGCAGGTGAACAATCAAAACATAACAATTCATTTGGAGAAGAATTAGTGGTAATTGAAGGTATAGGGTTAAATCAGAACTTTATGGGTTAAATATACAGAGATACATGTTATTTATAGTACATAAGCACCATACATTCTCATTACAATATTCAGTCTCTAATTTGTCTATAACATATTTACAATTATGGCTTGAGAGTGAAAATCATAGATTAAATAAGCTTAAAGTTAACATAACAAAGTTCTACCCCATACTTTTCTACTCCAGATTGATCTGAATAACCAACCAATTGAAATAGTTCATTTTTCAGCCTTTGATCAATATTCAAACATCAAATACAAATATGCAGTTTAAATGCAACAGACATAAAGTATTTAGTACAAGGCAGTGATTGCCTCTTCTGATTGTCTACCTCAAAATTCCAGTTCAGCATAATTAGCAATTGAAAAACAAGAGCAGCAATTGAAAAAAATACATGGTAGGTTACCATTGTAATTTTAAACTTTTATTGAAAAACTTTTATTGAAAAAAATACATGGTAGGTTACCATTGTAATTTTAAACTTTTTTTTGAAAAAAATACATGGTAGGTTACCATTGTAATTACATTTAAACTTTTATTGAAAAAAATACATGGTAGGTTACCATTGTAATTTTAAACTTTTATTGAAAAATATACATGATAGTTGGTGAACATAGATGAGAAGCAAGGACGACACTATTCCTTGGGTTTTAAAATCGCGAAAAGGTCCAAGGTTGTATAAACATTAAACAGTTTGCATCAATATTGACACTTATTCTTCCATTCACAAAGTCGTGCCATTAACGCTGTCCTTTACAATTGCACAAATACTGTGTCAGGTAATACTGGCCACAAAATTATTTCGTAAGAATTATAATAATTATATAAAATAAATATATAGAAATATAAACCCAAACCAAATTTAATTAAAAAGATATAGTCATATAAATATGCTAAAACTTTACTAAAATATTTGTTCAACATTAAATTCATAACTGCCCACAGAATAATGCATAAATTTAATGATTTTCTTAAAGTTAATATTTGCTTGACTAGTTGACATTTTTTAGAATTGAGATGTCGGGTTGCTACATACCCTACAATTTATAATGCCCTAGGTGTGATGTCAGATTAAATTCTAGAAAGTGCTATGGATAACAGAAATTGAACTCTAGTAAATCTATATTCAGACTGAATCCATGTTAATTAAAGGGGCAGATGTGCCATTTTTTTGACCATTCATGCCTTATTCTCAGTAACAGGAATTTTTAGCTTAGCCAATTAGTAATAGTGTTCACAGCTCACCATTGAAATTTGAGACTTCAAATCCTTTTGTGTCTAGAATTATCTGTGTTTGAAAGTTAAAAAGATGAGTCATCTTTTTTGAGACACTGCCACATATAGAAAAGACATCTTTAGAAATAAGAAAAGCAATTCATAGTTTGAGATATTTTTGAAAGAATTATGTGATTTTTGTGAATTTCTAGTACTTCTAAAGACTATTTACATATATTCAAGACTCAAATCAACTCCCCAAAATGGCACACATGTCTGGTTAAGAAGGCAGAAAATATAATCTAAAACTGGAATATTAATTATAATTATTCAGTAAACAAACTAAATTAATTAATTTACATCCAATCTGCTTAAATATAGAAACCTGAACATATAATATGCTAATTTTCATTAGCTATTTTATGTTATATGTGGTTGCATTTGTCAGCATTAAGAAAGTGAATTGGACATAATTTGTGTAAACACAAATTAAGTGAATGTGGAGATGAAATTAAAAATATTTATACAATATGTGGAGTTAAAAATATACTTAAAATATATAACCCAAAAATTCCCTGTAAAAATATCACAATTTTGTGTATATAATGGATTAAAGTAATAACAATGCTCGATTATGGCAGAGATAATCTTCCATAGATATATAAAGATGAGTGTTTCAAACAGGTGTAAGATAAACCAAGCATATCTGTGTCCTTTAACTCCCTTTAAACTAGAGAATAATTGAATTATTCATAAGAAACACCGATAACCTTGATTTGACTTAATACATACTGGGACCCATCTTTTAATACATTCAAACATGTAGATACCAGATGAAAGAAATTGCCTCTCAATATTTGTTTCCTTTAAACATGCAGTATCCAAATAGTTATGTGTATAGGGTAGAAGGTAATAATGCCTCCTTAGTTCCAATAGCAGGAGCCAAATTCTCTGATTTGAGGAAATCTCGTGGAAGCAATACTAAATGTCCTTTTACTCCTTTTAATTTCTCTCGAGCTTCACTTGGGTTAGATTCACTTAATGATGGTGAGTTTGTGTAGTCTCGAAGTTGTTGAAATGTATGCACAAAATCACAAGGAATACAGTTAAAAACCTGGAAAAAAAGTTTGAAAAATTGAGAATCTTCACATATGTCATAAATCATGTGATATCAGCTTTGCTTACAAGAATCAGTGCACCTACTTGTTAGATTCAGATTCAAGCTTTCTATTTTCGAAACCATCTTCGTGATAGGATGTCCTAAAACAGGGTTAGAAGTTAAAACCCTAGGACATCCTAGAGCTAAGATCGTTTCAAAAATACGTGGCCAGGCTTTGTGGTTGTAAAGAGAGTTTTAACAGTTGAGATTCTACAAATTCAATAGGCATGGTTAGTGAGTTGTTTTTGCACAAGAATCAAACTTACTTTATCATAAATAGTGGTGTTAACAACAGCTTGTTTTATCCAAACACCTTTATAAAAATCATCATGTACTATATCAGTTATATCTAAATCATCACTGTCTAAACCAAGATGTTCCCTGTAATATAATAACAGTTATAAACATGGACATTTAATTGATATTATTTCAAAAAGATGAAACTTAAGCCAGTTATTCAGTCTATCAGCCTAAGTAAGTTAGATCATATCAAGTAAATTTTCCCTTTGCTCTATTTGCCCACTTATAAACCACCAAAAAATTTTACTTCATAGAATCTAATCATAAAAAAAATCCCGTATGTCAATTCAAACTCATCTTAAATCTTTTTAATATAAATAAAAATATGAATTTTTGTCAAAATGTCTATACTATAAGTCTCAATGGTGACGCACGTTTGGAGAGTTCTGAACAGTTTCCTTTCGTATTAATTCTGGCTTCAATTGAACGGATGAAACATTTAAAATTTTCTCATCTATTTCTTTCTCTGCCCTTTGAATTCTGTCTACACCTACTAGTACTTGTTCTAAACTCTGTTCCAAATTGTTTTATTGAATTTATTGGTTGATTCCATGATTCCAGAGCACGCAGAACTCACCCATAGAGCAGCCCCGATTTGAGATCTCATGCATGAAAGTGTATAAAATGTTTGTATTACCTAAATAAAGTAGTACGTATAGATGATGCAAATTTTCCAACCATATGTTCTTTTCCGTTAATTTGAACACCAGTTTTCTGATTATCTTCTACTATCACAGCTAGTTCACTATCACGTTTTCCTAACATACTTCTATCATTAATATTAGCAGAGCCAATTATAACTGTATCATCATCTACTATCATTAATTTACTATGTACATATATCAATTCTGTCATCTAAAAATATAATACACAAATTCTATTAGTTTCCACTCTACTTTAAAACTGTGTCAGTGCCAGCGTGGGTACAAGGGGGACAATTGTTGGGGGGGGTGAAAGCCCCAGCAAACAATCCAAGGTAGGGTTGCAAAATGCTTCTTCTTATGCTTTATTTTGAATCCTCTGACTTTAATGCTCCTCCCCTCCACCCAAAAAAAAAATCGACAACAACAAAAAGAAACTTGAAAAGAAAAATACAGAAGAATAATAAATATTATCATACCATTTTTCCACTTAATTCAGCATGTTTTCTGAGGCCACAGAAGACCACATATTTTAATGGATCAGGAACTGAAAAAAAAAGAATCAATATCATTATGTTTAAAAGAAAACAACAAAGATTTGAAATTGTCGAATCATAACAAAATTTATATTAGATTTATATTAACATATTCATGATGTAAACATTGTTCAAATTTTTTCTCAGGAGATATACTGTGGCAAAACACTGTTTCTTACAATTCATGCAGCTATTTGAATTTGTTACCATGCTTTTCTTATAAGAGTCATGAATGACAATTACCCTATAGAAAATATACCAAGGGAAATATCACTAGTGAAAAAGTTCTACTTTAAGTAAGAATATTTGAATATTTACCTTCCTGTGATAATTTTTCTATTAATGAATATTGACCTCTGCAAATAGAAGCATAATTCCAGTTAGTCACAGCTTGTAGATTGGTTCCACCAGCAGTACCAAATTCTCCTTCAAAAGCAGGCAATAATGGCATCACAACATACACTCTAAATTCATCTTGACATCTGAAATGAAAAGCAATTTATTTTACACGTGGAATTTTAGAAAACCATTGGAAGAGGCTAGGTATAATTTGGGTTTCCTTATCTGAAATTTTTATGATGCAAAAAAATTGCTTTTAAAACTAACCTATGTGCTCTAATTATACGCCTATATAGTGCATCACCAATACCATTTAATACTACATTTTGAGAATTATTACCATCATCTATCTGTGTAACAAAAAACTGATTCTACAAAGACAAAACAAAAATATTAATGCCTTTTTCAATTAAAAAAATATAAGCTTTCCTTTAAAGATATTAACTGATAAACCAAATGCTGATTAATAAATACATATTTTATTATCATTTATTCTTTAACAATATTTCCTGCACAACATATCACAAATCTGGCTAAGTTTGTCAACCTTAGAGAGTCCACATACCTTATTTCTTTTTGATACATGTGTTTTCTTACCTCAATATAAATATAATGCTTAGCATTTTCTATACAATGAATATATGCTGTATGAATGGATGCTTCAATTTCAGCCAAACCAGCTGACCAGCTGCAGGAACTTCTCAAAATCTGAAAGGGAAAAAAATATTAGCTGTCAATGTTTGTTTGGTATATGGATGTGGCAGAAAAAGGTGTGAGATTAAAAAATGCAAACAACATTTATGTTACACCAATTTATTGGGTTTATTCTCTGAACTGTTAAGTGGGGGGGTGGGATAGGAACAGTTGACTGATAGTTTTTGGTGGCTCTTGATAGACAGGTTCTGAACACGTTCGGCCTGCTCCAATCTGGCCTCAATCGAACAGACAGAACCAGATTATGTCGCATTAAAAACTCTGATCCAACTCTGAATCCCGAACATGCAGAACTCTCCAATCAAGCAGTCCCCTTTGTAATATACAAGTGGTTAAAATTAAAGTCTCACCTGTGTTTTCACATCATATGTAACTGTTTTAATGGATGTCGGTACTGAACACCGGCTGTAATTTCTTGGCATCAATAATGGATAATTAGTCTTCTCTTTAAATTTTTTGGTCTACAAACAAAACAACACATGATTCAAATATAATCATGCTTAATTTATCAAATAACCTTACATACGAATTTTCATGATTCAATCATGATTCTTTAAATATAATAATTAATATATTCACTTTAATGATTCATAATCATTCCTCAAATACAACACTCACTTCAAATCATTATAAACCTGAAGTCAAGATAAAAACGTTTTTGTAAACAGTTAAATGAGCTGACAGGTTCAGCATTCAAATACCATACATGACAACCTCATGTTCACTTAGCAAAACTCTATAACAGTTTTGATATCTTCTGAATGAGTGGTGTCAATATTAACACTCCAACTAAAGTCATGACAACAAGTTTTTTGAAACACATCTAATCATAAGTAAAATGTCATGATTCTAATATTGTGTAGTTTAACAAATTTGTACCTTTGTGAAATTCCATCGGGTAATAAAATGTCGAGCCACATCTCTTGCAGCTTTTCCATAAACGACTGCTCCAATATCATGCCATGGCATTCTAGGCATAGTTTTTCTGTCAATAAAATCTGTAAATATCAAAATAAAGATGGTTTATAAGACATACACTCATGGCAGTAGTTAAGAAATAATAATCCTGTCTTATGTGATCAAAATATCACAGGCTAATCTTTTAACAGTAAACTCATCTGTTTTGTGCATTGCAACTTCAAAATTGTCTGATATCTCATTCTACACTGGAAAAAACACTATATTTTCTGTAGTCTTGACAATAATTTGAACTAAGATAGATTACTAACTGAAAAATAGCTCATCAAAACATCATCGACTTCAAACGTTTTTGTGGTCAGAAGAAACCCATCTAACCAACAAAGACCACCAGATAGCTCCCCTTTCATTCTCTTTAAGCAAGATCAGAACCATCCTAGGCCTATTCATTTGGGAGAAGTAAAACTTCCCTTTCAAATATATATCAAGGAATTATGTGATGTTCGGCATAAAACCTACCAGTAAATGGTGCATCTAGTTGAACTAAATCCTTAAATATAAAATTAACATAATCTTTGCCAATCCATAATTTAGTAGAAACTTTTAAACCTTGTTCATCAATAGCTTGTTCACTATCAGTTCTATGAAATTCTTCAGACGCTCTCTGATCACAACTAAAACAAACAGAAATACTACAAGAAATGTGCAATAGATGTGGTCTTATAGTCAGCATATACATGTTGGCCCTGGATTGGATAGTTCTAAAAAGGTTTTAATTCAGGTCAAATCAAATGGTATGAAAGTGGATATTTCATATTCAAAATTTCCTGTCAATACCCCTATCTTGATTTCTTCGCCACTTTGAATTCTGTCTACATCTACCTTTTTTCGTCACACTCCAAACTTTGCTGAATATTGCCAATTTGTTTTATTGTTGATTCCATGAATCCAAAATGTGCAGAATTAACAAATAGAGCTTAAAGCCTGCTTTCACTTAACCCGTGGAAAAGCAAAAAGCCAGCTTTATCTCGTTCGGCAATAGGGGGCGTACTGGTCTTTCCAGTCTATTGCATTTCTTACTGGTCAAAACAGTAGTCTTGTACATCAGTTGTTGTCAAAAATGCCCGACTTTGTGATCGAGGCTAAAGTCGTTTGGGAACCAGATTAACTCAGTGTAACCGCAATGCATTCGGCAATAAAGCTGGCTCTAAGCTAGCTTTGAGCCAGCTTAACAATTCTCAGTGGATACACCGTTATTAACTTTAAATATGTGTGCCAATATTTACTAACAAAAACCATACCTTTCACTTTCAGGAGAGTCTGACCCTCTTCTTTCTCTTAGCTTTTCAACTAGACTAGCAAACTGAATAGAAAATACAGTTTTAATACAGCATTAGAAGTTTACTTTGCTAGAAATAGCCACATTACAGTTTTAAGAAACCAGGAGCTTTTGTCAGACACATTGTAAAATTTACAGTAATTAAGAAATTGATGTAATTGATGTAAATGATATATCAGTTATCTGGAAGATTATGAAGATACCAGAGTAACAATCTTCCTTAAAACAGGCCACCAGTGGCAATCCTCAGTCCTTACTACTAATAAATGCGAGAATCTTAGTTTGCTTTGAATTTAATTAATCACATTGAAAGAGTGCATTGGTCTTAGTCTTTGAGTCTTGAGCATATATTTACACAAAGATATGATCAACAAAAAAACAACACACACAGTTTACTTTTGTTCAGAGTTCACAAGTTGGTGTTAATCAGTAATATACTGATCTCAGGTCATTTTGAACACATTTGATTGTTGTTAACTACCTATATCTCAACTTACCTTAGATTGCTTTGTCGGTTTTTGATCTACAAGGTACTTTTCAGGAATTGTTTCTTGTTTGCCATCATCGTGTTCTGAATCATTTCTACCACCTTTCAAAATCATTTTCCACCTTCTCCTTGCTGGACTTTCACCTTCAAAACTGTCCCTTTTTTGTAATCTATAAGAAGCGAACATAATGTGTAGGTATGCATATAATTGGTGTCAAATTGTCAGATAGATGTAGGTCTACAGTGATTTTAATTTCAAACAAAAGTAATCTATAACTAGTAAGGAATAATTTGGTAATACGTTGAAGGTTTTCAACTCTTGAACATACATCAAAATAAACTTTTTTGTTTAGTTAATGATGCAGAAAAATGAGATGACATTCCAAAAAGAGTGTACATACCTATCTAACATGGAAGCTGTCCTAGCAACGGCAGAGATATCAGTCAATTTAGATGAATTCTGTGTCTTTTGTGTCTGTTTACCAGTTCCTCCATTTTCCCCAATAGAATCGATATGATCATCATTGTCCTGTTCACTATTTTTATAATTGTGTTTCAAATTGCCAGCTTTGCTAGTATCTAAGTGAAGACCTTTGTCACGTGCTTTCATCCATAAATGAGAACCTTTTTGAGTATTTTCATTCAAATCATTGGAGATGTTATCAGGGTTATCATCTGCGTATTGGATATCGTCATCCTGATGCATATTGTGTTGTTGAGATTCATCATTATTTGACATTCTTCTATGCTGTTCATTGGAAGATGAAGCATTGTTACTGGCTTTTATGGAATCATTAGAAGTCTAAAAAAAACAACAACAAAAAATATAATTATCTAGAGAAACATATAGTGTTCAAGTTTATATTTTGAGAATATGTAATCAAGTGTATATTTTGAGAATGTGTAATAAAGTGTATATTTTGAGAATGTGTAATCAAGTTTATATTTTGAGAATGTGTATTAAAGTTTATATTTTGAGAATGTGTAATCAAGTTTATATTTTGAGAATGTGTAATCAAGTTTGTATTTTGAGAATATGTAATCAAGTGTATATTTTGAGAATGTGTATTCAAGTGTATATTTTGAGAATGTGTAATAAAGTGTATATTTTGAGAATGTGTAATCAAGTTTATATTTTGAGAATGTGTATTAAAGTGTATATTTTGAGAATGTGTATTCAAGTTTATATTTTGAGAATGTGTAATCAAGTGTATATTTTGAGAATGTGTAATCAAGTTTATATTTTGAGAATGTGTAATCAAGTTTGTATTTTGAGAATGTGTAATCAAGTTTATATTTTGAGAATGTGTAATCAAGTTTATATTTTGAGAATGTGTAATCAAGTTTATATTTTGAGAATGTGTGATCAAGTTTATATTTTGAGAATGTGTAATCAAGTTTATATTTTGAGAATGTGTAATCAAGTGTATATTTCGAGAATGTGTAATCAAGTTTATATTTTGAGAATGTGTAATCAAGTTTATATTTCGAGATTGTGTAATCAAGTGTATATTTTGAGAATGTGTATTCAAGTGTATATTTTTAGAATGTGTAATCAAATGTATATTTCGAGAATGTGTAATCAAGTTTATATTTTTAGAATGTGTAATCAAGTTTATATTTCGAGATTGTGTAATCAAGTTTATATTTTGAGAATGTGTAATCAAGAGTATATGTTGAGAATGTGTATTCAAGTGTATATTTTTAGAATGTGTAATCAAGTTTATATTTCGAGATTGTGTAATCAAGTGTATATTTTGAGAATGTGTAATCAAGTGTATATTTTGAGAATGTGTATTCAAGTTTATATTTTGAGAATGTGTAATCAAGTTTATATTTCGAGATTGTGTAATCAAGTTTATATTTTGAGAATGTGTAATCAAGTTTATATTTTGAGAATGTGTAATCAAGTTTATATTTCGAGATTGTGTAATCAAGTTTATATTTTGAGAATGTGTATTCAAGTTTATATTTTGAGAATGTGTAATCAAGTGTATATTTTGAGAATGTGTATTCAAGTGTATATTTTGAGAATGTGTAATCAAGTTTATATTTCGAGAATGTGTAATAAAGTGTATATTTTGAGAATGTGTCATCAAACTCCTTTTTTGTGACTTTAATGTGAATTTAATGAAATGAGACTTTACTACAGTTTAATATTTAGGAATATTTGTCATTAAGAAAATTACTAATGAAAATTTCTTAAATTTTGAGCTAACCATAAAAGGGATAGAGAAGAAAACGTCTCTGATAGGCCTTCACATAGGCTATAAAACATATATAAAAAAAGAGAATGTTTTTGTACAAACCTTGTTGGACATAGAAATTTGAGGTAGATCTATCACAGAGTTTCGCCGTGTGATTATGTATCCGAGATCTGTTAATCTACAATTAAATAAAAAGCATACTTAGATATTGACCAGGGATACAGTTTATTTACTTATGACACTATTCCGTATGCACATCTGGAGTGCCGTTAATATGCAATCAAAAACCTATATACTAACTTTATTGCCTTACATTTTATGACCATTGGTTCTCAAACACCATTTATAAGGCTATTAAAAGTAATTTCTATTATGACCTCAACAGTCTAATTAAAATTACACCAAACTTTCATTCCATTATTTTTTATTTTTTTATTTTTAACATAGCCACTTCAGTTAGGGTCTAACAATATCCCTCTTGAACGTTCCTCAAATTAACCTCTTGACCTAACCCGATGACGTCTGCTTTAACCAATCAAATTTCTACCTTCTCCAGCGCTGGTTTTGTTTGTAATGCAGTGTTTATCAGGTTAGGTTAAAAGGTTAATTTGACAAACGTTCAAGAGGGCTGTCATTAGACCCTAATTGAAGTGGCTATATTAAAAAAAAAAGCTAATAGAAAATGGACCGAAAGTTTGGTCTAATATTAATGAGACTGATGACCTCAGTGAACATTTATGGACAGGCAGAATTGCCTAGAAAGAAAGATATGGCCATCTAGATAGGTATATAAAATAAGTCACCTGTGCTGAGAATCATCCCATCTACCATAACAAAGGTCAATACCTCCAAGAAAGGCAACTCTTTGATCTATAACAACCATTTTTTCATGATGAGCCCACAGTAAAACATCTCCTGGTAAATGATCAGGATGTCTTATGACCTAAAGGAGACAGATGGATAAGGGATATAGGTCTCTTGAAATATGTCCTAATTTCAGCTGTCTGTATCACTTTTGATAATCAAAGTGAAAAAAACACATCGTTTACTTTCTGTATATATATCATTCTAATTGTAATGAAACCCCTTTAATCTAGCTGGCCTGATAATGGATGTCAGTCACTGGGATACTTCACTGTTACTAAAATCTAAGTTTTAAACTGGTATGGCACAATTTCAACCAATCCAATGATTTGTTCAGTGCGGGCTTAATTACAACTTTTGAGGAATTCTGGGATATTCAATAAAAAGCATTGTCTGGTACTGTGTCTAAAATGGATGCTGTCAGATAAAGAATGATTGAATTCACTCACTGAAATAAAGGAAACAAAATGGCCTAGCTAGAGAGTAAAAAAACAAGTATATTTACCCTAATATTTTCCGAATTTAAACCTAATAGTTTATATTTACTATATGCACTATCTATATTTAAAGCTACCGTTACTTCCTTATATAACATAATATAAATCTTTACACCAGCATCCTGCAAAATAATAGGTTTCATTGACTGAAAAAGACCTATTCTTCTTTTGAAAATGGGAGGGCTAGGATGGCTTGCAAACTTACGAATGCAATATGGCATAGGTTGGAATAGTTTTTTCTATAACTGATGCTAGTTGGAGGGACTGACATAGATATATCCTTTACTTGCTCAGATGGGACAATTAACTGAAGCACCGCACAAGATTCTTGTAGAAGAGTTGACTAATGTTTCTAAATTTACCCTCATTGAATGGTTTTGCAAGTCTTCATTAAACAAAACATCAGCAGAATAGTAGGATATTACAATCAAATTCAATTTCATTAACTAAGCTTTCCCATAGAGAGCTGTGGGCATATAAAAAAGATGAATTGTCTAGCAGTAGTATTACTTACAGCTTTCCTTTTTAATATTACATCTAATCTCCATTTGTCCCCTTCTGTCATTGGTCGTTTTAAATATATTTCAGGACTCAACCTGTAATAGGAAAAAGATACAGATGGTCTTAATATGAAATACATTTCAAACTTTCGACATAGTGAGAGAGATCAAACTATTAGGCTAGACATCAACAACAAGCACCAAACATTCTGAGTCATTGATCAATAAAGGTAAGTTTCTATCTGTTATCTATATCATCATCATGTATATATTGACTAGATAATCTTCTGACAAAACCTTAAAAAGGCTTCAAGTACATAGCAAGCAATCATACTGATCATATATGATTAAAAACAGATATTTTACTTACCACCAATCTGTTATAAAGATTTCTTCTCTAGCCTTTTCTAGTGATTCAGCAACAGCTTCAAAATAACTACCAGCATCAACAAACCTGTAAAACATAATCCTAAGCCTTAAATTTGTCGGGAAATGTCAGGAAATCGTGTTTTTGGGCGTCTTATTCTCAAATTCTCTAAGCAACACACCTCAGACCCAGAGAGATTGAAAAGAACTTTTTGTATGTTAAAAGAAATTTGCTAACATCAGCATTGCTTTAAGTAACTTCTTTATATCAATTCCATACATCAATTATATCAGGGCTCTTTCCACTCTTAACTACATTGATAACAGAATCTTACCAATGTGCATATGAATTTTCTCGCATGGGAGCAAAGGCTTTAAAACGATTTTTTTTGGTGAAGTCTGAAGCTGTAGTTTGTCCCTTTATTCTGATCCTTTCTGTGAATTCTTGAGCTTTTCTTGCAGTCCAGCATTTCACAATCAAATTCCTAAAACATACAAAACAAAGAGCTTCTGAATTAAGACGCAAAAATACAATTTAGATAATATACATAGCTTTAACGTTCTTACAGATTGAACATTAGCAATGAAAACTTTGAACTGTTGGATACAGCACAGTTTTTATCAACAGATATTCTCATAAGCCTGGAACATTGTCCATGATGCATCTTGTAGAGATTAGGGTGGATGAAAGGTTACAAGTGACTAATCATCAGGCATTGGCACCGGTTAAACTAATGTTCCCTAATGTTAAGGCTAGTAGGCCTACGTTAATATTTAAATTTGTAGCACACGTGTACTTTCATTTCTGACATAGACCTAACAGTCTAGAAAATAATTAGATGGATGTCCTTACTACCATAAAATCTATGCCAGGGTGGAAACATTACCAACAGACTGAAATTGATATAACATGTTTAACTTTCATACCCTAAATATATATCCGCCTTTTCACTTGACCTCATAAAACGTAACTAATTGCTTTTTAATTAGAATATTAGAAGCTATGTAAAAAATATCACACCTTTGTAAGTTGCCAATGCTAACACCATCTTGAGAACCAGTGGCATTACTTCCACATTCAACATTAAAATGGGAATCCATTAATAAAACATCTCTAACATAACCATCTTCAGGTCTAATATATGCTAAGAAAGTGTCTTTTAAGACTAGCCACCTGTAAAAATGAACATTGTTATAAAAATACCTTTCCTAGCTCAGATGAAATAATTAACCAAGGTGCTATGTGCTCTAGAATGGGCAAGACAATGTTTGCTTGCAACGAGATAAAGTTGCTATCCTGACAAAATTACCCTCATTGCACACTTCACTGGACTGCATGTCCACAATAGCCCTAAGCTAGGAAATCTGGACTCTTTTCAAAGTGATCAATTTAAATAAATATAGGCTACTAGTCAAATATACATTATCAGCTATGTGTTGGATGAAGAGTTGACACATTTGCTGAGTACCACTAAGTGTTCTAATGGGCATTCCTGCCAGTGAAACCCATGACCCCAAACTCATTTTCACAATGTCAAGCTATTACAAAATGCATCTTATACCTTGACTGCAATAGCCACCTTTCTTGTAAATGCAGTGATTGGTTGGATTGTACGTTAGCAAATACAGCCAATCAAAGTCATCGACAGATAATATGTAAACAATAAGCCATTAAGGCTCAAATTGGCTGTTTTCGCTGGCGTACAATCCACTACAATCGCTGCATTCCATTATAGAAGATATAGCGACTATTGCAGTCAAGGTATAAGAATGAAGTTCGTCATAGCTTGACATTATGAAGATGATTGTGAGATGAAGAGTTGACTAGAGCTCATTTCATATTGCTGACACGAGTTTTGGATAAACAATCCTTATCAGGACAGCTTTATTGAAATATTGGACTTAAGGCATATGAATAGAGTTAGCAAACATGCCAGAGCAAGGAATTTTAACATGAGATTGTACCTTTTATTCCATCTACTAAAGAGAGATAAATTTCTAACACATCCCCAACAGGTAAGTATACGACGTCCACCAGAACATTTCTTTACCATGCATTCTTTCTCTTTAGTATTTCCTAATGCTTTGATGAATGACAAATGGCTAACTTCTAAAAATTCTATCTAAAAATACCAAATAAATTGTTTTTGATGACAAAAATATAAGATAGTGGACCACAGCCATACACGCCCACCACGTAATGCGGATGGTAAATATTCAAGATTTTGGGGCAAGGGCAATAACTCTGCTTCTAACTGTCGAAAATAGCTCAAATTCAAACTTGATCTTCGTTTAATGAACATGCATACACAAACCGAATTTCATTTGATTCTATCAAAAAATCTAATTTTTTAGAGCGTTTACAAGCAAATGTTGACGGACCAACAGACGGACAGGGGTGCCAACAATATACATCCACATAGAGAGATGTGGGCGTATAAAAATACAGTCATTTCAAAATAATAAATATTACATGACAAATCATGAAAAAGGGTTGGTGAAAATAAGAATTGAAAAGGGTTAAAGGATGTGTGTTGGATTTGTCACAGCAGGTTTTCAATAGCAAAGTAACCTTTGTGATAGGATATTCATTTGCATTATCTATAATCCTTCTTTTGGACAACATGAGCAGTCACCCTCACAGAAAATATATTTTAGGCAGATTTAATTATATGTTATGTATTACCATAAGTAGGAAAGAGAATAAAATATATTATGCTTACTGTTTGTGTGTGATTTCTATACAACTTAATTTTCAACAGGCTTTGTAAATATTTTTCAAGTTGTTTCTGAAACAGAGCAATAAGAATTGATAGATACTAGCTTTGGGTAGATTTTGTATCAAAATCATTTTGTTCTCTCTTTAGAGTTATAAATTGTGCCATGTGTTAAAGATCTACAGACCAGTTGGGAAGATTGATGTCAAATAATTGTAAATTAAATCTATATGTCTTTATCCTTAATCCATCCATAGAATCTAAAAAAAAAACTTTGATTAAAAGCTTTCAAGATTGAACTCCTTCAAGATCTAATGAATATGAGAAATGGCATAATCAAGTTTGATGCTGATTTAAATAAATCACTTGCATCCAGTAGAAAGAATCTTACCATTCTCTGAGGAATTGAATCCTCTGAAACTAAAGCTTCTGGCCTCTTGGGAAATTTAACACTCATCTTCTCTTTATTTAATGTTTTTCTTCTTTCTCTGTGGCTAAATTAAAATTCAATAACATTTAGTTTGAGAGCTTTTGTCTCGAAATACAATGCCAAAATATTATACCTTGAACTAGTGTTAGTATATAATCAAACAGCAAGACAAAAAAATCGGATGCTGATAATCACGTGCCGATCATGCAATTGAAAGGAAATGAATCTGATTGGATGATGATGCTCTGTCTTGAAGACAATTGACAACAAATATCAAGCTGGTTTGATATTATTAATACTGTCGGCAAAGCAATAATCTTGTTGTGACAGAGCGGGCACATGTGAGATTTTAATCAAGATTCGCGTTGCCACAAAAATCGGCAACCAAGACTGTTGCTGTATTAACAATTTAAATATCTCCATTTCAGCTATTAGTAACATTTTCAAACTGAAATTGGTAACTTAATCCATTCTATTAGATAAATATATATACCAGCAGAAATAATGACAATCTAAATTGCCAGGGTCTTATTAATCTTATTAAGGCCATTACAACCTCATTATATTGGCTTTACACAAATATCAATACTTACTCTTTAGAAGGTAGTGGAAAACTTTGCTTTGCTCGAAATATTGACAGATGTTCAAATAACTGTAGAAAATGTTTATATCTCTTTTTAACAATCCATGTAAATTCCCCATGTTTAACATTGATGGTGTACCTGTTAACAAAATTACAGACTTGAATAGGAACATTTTTCATTGTTTTTTTACAAATTACAAATTATCTGAGCACAAAATCAATGCATAGTCAGAACAATTTTATCTCAAAAATATAAATTTCAATCACAAAGGAGAGCGCTAATTGTTTCAAATTTGCATAATGTGTTTTGCTTGACAAACAATAAAAAGTTAACAAAATAGCATGTAATTAAAGTCGCACTGCATGTGTGTCTTTGCACTTGGAACAGTGATATCACTACGCTTATCCTCTCATGCAAATTGAAAACCTGTAGACACAATTGTGTGGCTCGCCCATTTTCTTGAATTATTCATTAAATGGTATGCTGCACTGATCATAAGCCTAGAAAAACATTCTGGTTATCAATCATTTGTACCCGGTCGTACCAAATTTTCTGGAAATACACCATGCAGATTATGAAGGCAATACTTACAAATTTGGATTTAAAAACTTCGATTCTAGTCTTTCAAAATCAGAAATATGTATCTCAATAGGTACAGCAGGTATCCAGCAGTTATCACGTATATCATCAAATGGCACAGGTTGACCCTGAACAGCTCTATAGGGTACACATACTCCCCCATCCTCTTCTGAAAAATCAGATACAAATTGTGTACATTAGAGAAGGCATTTAGGAAAATTAATTCAATAGGAAGCTGTCGAAAATCCAAACGAATGGAGTTTTACATCCTACTTTTCTGCACCATGTGGGCTAATGAAGATGGGTCATGCAGGGTGCAATGAGGGAAATTTTGCCAGGACAGCAGCATAGTCTGCATTTTCTCAATTTCCAAATGTCGTGGGATCTTTAATGTGCACAGCCTGTAGCACACAGGGCCTCGGTTTATTGTCCGATTTCTAACTATCAACTATCAAAATAAATGCGATCAAAACAAATATTATATATATCGCTTGGAAATAAATATAGGACATATATACAACATTATACTGTTGTTATTATTATACTTTCACATTCAGAAAGTTTGTTACATTGTACATTTTATATAATTCTGATTTAAGCCACTCAAATGGAAATTGGTGATAGGTGATATTGCCAAAGCCTTCATTACATACAATTATTCGGTTTTTGTTATATCCAGGACAATAATTGATATGGTTAATTTGATGCAATGCGTCATAACAGATTTGTTACCATCTTCCAAAGTCATTGTAATGGAAGCTACTGTAAACATTACTATATATCTAAAATATTACTAAAATACCCTGCAGATTCAGACCGCTTTTTTCTCAATATAGTTCTGCACTCCATCTTACCCCTGTAGATTTGAGAGAATAAAACCCTCCCTTCCCCAAAATTTAAACAGTGCAAGGTGAGCAGCACTCCAATAATACAAGCCTGTTTTAACATGTGTTTTCAAGTTATTTTCTATTCAACCCATTCATCTAAATAAATATTGTCAAAGTGGGATCTCACCACAAGTTTCATTCAGATTGATTGATGAGTAAGAAAATCTGTTGAGATATGACACTCAGTGTCTTAAAGTGGCTAGCCACTACAATAACAATAAAACATTCCTTACCTTTATTTGTGACTTCACCATCTGCAGTGTCTCCTCCTTCATCTATAGGAGAGAGAAATTCAAATTCATCTTCCACATCATAGTCTGAGATGACAGAGACTGATCTTAAAAAACTTCCTGTTGTATTTTCTGCTCCAGACTGATTCATTATGACTGATGAGTATTTGGGTCATGTAAAAAGGCACTACAATAAAATAAACAAAAACATTACAATAATATAATAGACATTGTTTTTTTTTATTTCTATTTTGCTCTACAATTGATGTATTCAGCACTATTTTAGCAGTGAAATTATTTTGATATTTTAGACATTGTTTTATATTTATATAGATCCATAAGTGAACTTCTGCCCTTGTAAATTTGAGATCTTTTATTAACTGGATTGTAAAGAGATTGTAAGGGGGTTTTCTAAACTTTTATGTGTATCGGGGACACTCATAGCTTCAACTTGCAACATTCCAATTTTCATTCCGATGCCTGTGGTTCTTGCAATACCACAAAACTAACACGTTTAATGACGTCACTAGGGGGGAGCTACTGGAAACTACTATTGATATCTATGCAGTTCCCTTCTAGTGACGTCATAAAATCCTCATTGGAATTGCAAGGAAGCACAGACGTCAGAATGAAAATTGGAATGGTGCAAATTGATGCTACCAGTGTCCCTGATACACATAAGAACCTCTTTACAATCCCTTTGATAAACATATGTATTGACACTGATTTGCAACATTCCAATTTTCAATTGGACATCAGTGGTTCTCGCAATTCCACTCAACCTAGGATTTTATGATCTCACTGACTCACTAAATATTGCAAAAACTACTATTGATATAAGGACCATTTGCAATAGAGTCGTCATAAAACACATAGTAAGTGGAACTGCAAGAACCACAAACATATGATTGAAAAATTGAATGGTGCAAATTGATACCGCATCCTGAATATATACATAAATTTGTTATAAAACCTTTTTACAATCTCTTTCATATTAAGTATGTAAGCTATTCACACAAAGAAAAAAATGTAATTATTTTTTTTTATCAAAATAGGGCCCTGCTAACCTATTTAAGCAAATAATTTGCACTGATTTTGAATAATCATATATAATACACATTAATATACAGTTGTTGTGTTCAAGATCATATGTAGATTACCTTACAAATATGGGTTAAAGATTGGTCTCCTAATCGTGTATAATACAATAATAAAATACTTTCACTGTTAAAATAGTGCTCAATACAACCAGTCTAGTAAAAGAAGGTTTTTACATATTCAAAGGCAATAACTCAAAAAATGTTCATCCAATAATTGCCAAATGCTAACTTGACTATCGTGAACGGATACATGGGTGCCCACAATATATATCCACATGAAGAAATGTAGACTATAAGCTTAATTAAACTATAAAAACAACACCCTTGTTTCAGACAAAAAAAGTGGTATTGAAATGTAGAAGCTTAAAATAGATGAAAATCATGAATGAGTAATATATATGACATTAAGATTAAATCAATATTACACTGTATTGCAAGTTACAATATCAATTCATTATATCAATCAATATCCATTCAATAAATTCCTCAAAAATCTTTCAAAGTCAAACCCAGATTGCTGATTATTCCAAGAAGCAACATAATCACAAGCACATTATCAAAATTCCATCACTATATAAATCTATATTATGATTTAACTGAAAGTCAAATGAGATCTGTTATGCCTTGATATAAGCCTACACATTAAAAAAATCTGTCAAAAACTGTCACAAGGCCTTAGCAGAGTGATTTAAAAGTTGACAGACAGAAATTATGATTACAACATATGCCCAAACTCTGTGCACTTGAGCAGAGAATTCGAAGTTACACAAATAGAAAGGTCCAAGAATCTTATTCTAAGACGTTCATATTATAACCTTGCTACTCATGTTGATTGGTGAAAACCATAGGACTTTTCAAGATGTTAGCTAAAAATACCAGTATCTTAAGAAAAGTTTTTGTAGACTAACTGGAGTAAGCTTATACATGCAAAATATTTTTTTCAATCCATAGGCATTTATATTTTTTACTAGGTTATTTTTTTTTTGTTAATGTCTTAGCTTAATATGCAAATTTTTCTAAATGGATATGCTGCAATAAACTCATTCAAACCTACTACAGGTAAAACCACAGAATAGAGAATTAAAAGTGAGGAATAACATTTTGTAATATAATTTTAAAGTACCAGTACCCTAGTAAACTTTAGCAACAATAAAACTCATTCATGATATTGGTTATTACTTAATATGCATGAGTAGATAACTCATCACAACATTTATTAACTGTTCAGTTATTCTCTGTTATTTTGGAAAAAGACCTGAATCGAGAATAATGCACATAAAACTGCACTTAAAATACACATAAAACTTTGGAATGTCTTTTCATCCAGAAAAAAACCTTAATGTTAAATTTTGAAAACCAGACTGTTTGAAAACATGCAACATGCAACATGCAAAAGGAGATAGTAAATGACAGATTTTTTGTGACTCCTAGAAAGAAATTTAATAATATTTTATACCGGTATATAAAATTTATATAATTTTTTCTGTTGAGGGTAGTTTGACATTTTGAACTTCTTCAATAAATTGTATAAGCTTAAGCATTAATAAGTTTTTCATTCATTAAATTCATTCATAGGCCTAGATCTACACAACCAAATAGTTTTCTATATATATGGTACCTGTGCAGTATAATATTGATTCAATTCCGAAGTATAGGAACTTTGAAAAAAATGCATAATCCCTACAAAACATTATACCTAAAACCGGGCATTTCCCTTTCTATTTCTATCTGCACTGGTTTCCCCCCATGCCTAAATATTGTAAGTCTTGTCAGTGTGCTCAAGCTCTAACTTAACAGGAAATGATAAAAAATCCAGGGCCTATTGTATGGGAATGTCTTCATTCACCATTCCACTGGTGACACAAAATATAGTTGAAAATGGCAAAAAACAAAGTTTGAGGGTCTTAGTTGGAGGTTTGTGTTCCATGACCATCGGTTATATTATCTCAACTTTAATTATCGGGGTCATTTATAGGCTACTTATAATACAGGACAAAAAGGATATTGTTTGTAAATGATGTTTTGATGAAGTTGTACATCCTGGGTAGACCTACGTGAGGTTTTCATGTCACTCAACAAGCTAAGTGTATATTATAACGTCTACTTCGAAATTAGGTCGTGACATTCTACCTGGGAAGTTCTGAAACTGTAATATCTCTTTTAAAGTAAAAATGGTTTACCTGTGTTTCTGTTTAAAATATAGTTTCCTTCGTGCTGTCCTTTAAGATTGAATATACATCAATTCCATTTCTTGGTAGGTGAAAATGTCACAGTTGGCCTTTATGGCCGATGGTTTCCTAATTTGATGGAATGTGTGACAGTCCTAGTAAACAAAAACGTAAAAATTAAAAGTAAAAAAAAAGATGGAAACAACCAATGGCGT